TCTAACTTAGAACATATTCTCGTCTTCATTCCTAACCATCCGAACAATCAGTCCTCCAAGTATTCTGATCGACTTATTCTGATAGTCTTATTTATTGGAACACCATTACATTTCAAAACCTGACGATATCAATCGTAGTCACAATCATAGGAGATAGTCACTGGTGTGAGGTCGTGTAGAGCAATCAAAATTTGTCGAACTGTTAATTTGGAATGTTGATATCTTTGTATTTTTCTTGGTAGACATTCTTTCTTTCATATTAAACATATGAGGCTTAAAATCCATTGTAGCCAGTGAGGATGCAGAAAGAAAAGTTTCAATGTCTTTGGCATGCGGATACATCTAAATTCATGAAACAAAACTCGAATGAACTCAAGGCATTTTGAAGCCCCGTAGATGAAATCTGTAACTTGTTGTGGAAAGATTTTCTGTAAAGCGAACTAAAATAGAAGTTTACATGGACGTTGCTGAACAGAATGCTCAGATCTGCATATCATTTTGAGATAATAGTGACTTACGTCCTACAGCAATAGAGTATGGTGTGAATAAGTTGGATTGCTAATAGAAATATCCATATATCTTCAAAACAGTATGCAGATTTGCAGATTTCTTCTCTCAAAATTGTATCAGGGGTAATTGCCGAACAAATAAATATACTTATTTTTCTTGCATGTCTAACGTTTTTTCATTTTTCTATTTTATCATTTCTCATGACAAGATTAATGAGTTTTCCTAGAAATAGGAACTAAAATTAATTCCTTTGTTCACAATTTTCAAATTTGGTTAATCAGTTTCTGAATCCGACATCTTCGAAAATAACTAAAAAATCATAGTGATACAATTGTTTCATCATATATTAACAGCTGTTTTATTCGGGAAGTATTGCACTTATTTGTTTAACGGAATTCATAATGTTAAATTGAACATCTCTCTTTCTCAAAAGTAAGCATTCCAAATCATTTTGTATTTTATTCATTTGTACAATAGTACGGATTCTTATTTTGACCATTTCTTATTTTTAGTGGGAAACATACTTCTTATTTTGTTTAAATAGACAGAATGTCTGTTGTTGTCACTGCTTACTTTTTCATAGGTGTTAGTTTCTTCGTTCTTTCATGCAGAAAATTTATCTGAATGAAGTAGAAGAGCAATACATATAAAATAGTCACTGGATATTGAACATTGAATCAATAATCACTTAAATGTTTTAATAAGTGTGAAAATCAAAGAAGTAATTCATTTAGATCAGATAATTAATTAATTAATTAATTTAGTAGAAAACATCATTCTTAAAATCCACTAAAACCTTATAGCGGAACCCTCGTATTAATTATTTACTAATTTTGCTTCATAAAATTTGCAGAAACGGTAATTATTTTCAGCGAACTTTTTTACAGAACTTCATGTCTGACAGCTTTTTTTTGTTTGTTTTTTTAGAAATGTTTATCGAAAGTTTGGATCATCTTCGACAATTATGAATTTAGCTTTTTTCCATTATTTTTAATCGTTTAAATATCGTATGAGTCCTTGGCTTATTTGCATCCTAGTGGTGTTTTAATGATAAGGCTGAGGAAGGAAGTTGTAAAGTTCTATCGAAATTTGAGGAAATATTTGCGAGTTAAATTGAAGTCACTTTCGCGCTTATATTTTTAAATATTTTTGCTCTTATTAAGTCTCAAATTTTTTCCTGCTTTCAAAATTTTATATTTTTTGAAGCACAGAGAGGAAGCAAAAAGAAAAAGATGATGGGTGGTGCGTTATAGAGTTGTGTTGTGTTATTCATGCTTGGCCTTCCGTGAGAGCTAACGAAGGGTGCAACATTTTATGCTTCTTCATAAGTCGGGTTTTTTTTGAAAATCTCTTCCTTAATGTATGTTGGTTATTCGAACGATTTTACCGATTTTGAATAGCATTAAACAATTATTATAAAGATTCTCTTATGTTAACATGTATTTTCATGCAAATTTAAAGGTGTTATAGAGAAAGGAAGAGGAAGGAAGGCAAAAACGTGGGAATTTGGGATGTATTTCTTACCTGATACTCGTACTTCTTTCTGCTGATGGTCGTTCAACATTGTCGAGTTTGTTAAAGTTTAACTCACATAAATCTTTTAAAACATTCCATTCTTTTTTAAGTATCTTCTAGAAATAACTTCTTTGTTGAAATAGCCTTATCACTACAAGTAATTTAAAATTATCCTCAGTTTGATAGATATTTCTCTGGTCAGTCCCGAATTACATTGAAGTTTTCACGTATTTATCAATGAAATGGAAAAATACGGAAATATTTTGATTAAAAATCTTGCAGTCGTAACTCTCTTATCAAATTTTTATGGACGATTTGGGTCTTTATCAGAAGAGAAATATTGATAGTGTCCTTCTACCATTCCTTAAATGGGTATCACTGTGTTGTCTTAGAAGAATGTCGTCAATGATTCATTCAGTTAATTAATCAATAAATCATCATGTTTCAGTCATCTTGTTTTTGCAGTTAATTAGGCGGCAATTAGTTTTCTTCAGTTGGATGAATTGGTCAGTTAAGTTAATTACTTAATTCATCATCTCTAAATGAGATGGTCAATGGGGATATAGTAGTAGTAAATCAGGTAATAAAAAGAGTAGTTGATTATTTTAAAAAAAGAATGATTTTCGAGATGATGCATTATGTAGTATATTGCCTGTGTAACGTTTTTAGTGTAAAAATATTTATATGATCACATTAACACCATTCAGGAAAATAGAGAAAATAAGATAGGGGGGGGGGGGAGGGGGGAAATGACACGCAGTCCTCCTCCTTCATCGAAAACATAACATACCTTTTTCTCCTTCATTTAATTGCTTTTCTTTAAAGTGTTAATCTATTGCTCTTTGTAAAACGATTTCTCCTTACTTCTTCCTCTTTCCTTATCATCATCATCATTCTACCTTTTTTTCTCCCACATACGTACAATAATAATTCATTGACACAATCATTCTTCTTAGTCGTTTTTTCCGTTCACTATCTATGAGGAAATATCTTTTAAAAAAAATGAATTTGAAATTTTAAAACAAAAGGAGGAAAAGAAATCGATACAGCGGGTTTAATATTTGCATGTGTGTGTATGTGTGTGTGTGTGTGTGTGTGTGTGTGTTTTTTAAACTTTTATGATTTGTGGATATTAAGAATTGATAAGGAAATTAATATTTAAAATGGAATTGATAAGGAAGTTAATATTTAAAATGGAATTTAATTGATTGCATACTTGTTTAAATCTAAAATAAATTTTTTTTTAGCTAAAGAGAAATGGTTACTATTTGGGAATTATTTATTTCCATTATGATCTATCAAATTGTAATCAATTTCGAGTCTTTTTGTCGAAATTGTTCTTACTCGATTCCAATGCTGGTTTATAATGGAATGTTTTTCGGAAGAGCTCTTGTAACCTCTTCTTTACATAACTAATCAACATAGCATATACCATTCAATATTTAAATTAATGTTTCAGGGTATATACTCTTTTATTTTTTGTGATTTAGTTTTTTTTTTTTCAGTGTTCTAAAGTGAATCTTTGTTTTTATTGGATAGAGCAAAAGTATACTGTTTACACAGCTGCCTGTAAAGCTTGTTAACTAGAATTTTAGTTGTGTATTATCACTTTCATGATAGAAATGGTCATTTAGCTTTTCGATGTGGTTAAACTGCCTAAATTGACTAATATATTGCCATTTAAATTGATTAATATAAGTATATAGACAATTGTTCGTCTTTCAAATCTCTTAATGAAATTTTGGTTGGGAATGAGAGCGGGAAGAAGTTGTTGAAAAAGGAAGAACAAAAAAGCTCAAGTAAGTAAAAAATGAGACAGTCTGTTGGTCAAGGAATTTCAGAATCATTAGTCATTTTGGGTCGGGTGTGGCAGAATAGAGATAGTTAGAAAAAAGAGAAAAAAATTCAATTTTTAACCTTGGTAGTAACAGCAATTGGTGATACTGATGTTGGTGCTCTAGGGATTGGTTTGGTTGGCTTGAAATGGTTCAGTTTTAAATGATATGTAAGGCTAGAGCTAGCAATGATTCCTGTTATGTGTCACACCCGTTCTCTGTCCGATTTCAAAAGTTCTCCATCCCATTCTTACCCTTCTTTCAAGAAATTTGTCATTTTTTGCTTTTTCTCTTCCTCTTAAAATGCCAAAAGATCATTTTATTTGGTCTTAAGATTTTTTTTAATGTTTGGAATTCCTTAAGCCATATTAGTTCTATTTGCTAAGTTTTCGTATTATTTTTTTAAACCTTGATATCAGTAGTAGCAACTTACTATTCTGAAAATTGGTTTGCTTAAATTACTTAATTTAATCTATTGTACGGTCAACATTGGAAATTCTTGCTTCTGGAGATCTTTTTGGTTACACTATTATATATAATGATTAATTACACCGCCATAGATCCATCTTGTTGATTGTCGTTCTTCTATAAAATACCAAGAAATAGTTACAAGCAATTTCCGGTACTACAAAAAAAATGAAACTCTTGAAATTAAAAATATTTTGAGACAGCTTATTCCACTACATTCATTTTAATTTTATAAGGCAGATAATACAAAGGGAGAAGGGATAGGGAATATCTCACTTTTGGTTGCGAATTATGGCGTACAAAATCAAACAAAGAAAGAATTCGGTGATGAATAGGGACAAAAACGGTGAGAAATGGTGATAATGATGATATAAAACAGATCGCTTTATTGTGCACATATAATGTCAAGGACAAATGAGCAGCATATCAAATAGACCACACCGTAAGTGGCGATCCTTTACGGTGTTCTTGCTTATTTTTAAACTTCAATCAGGTTTTTTTAACTTTGAATGTGGTGGAAATTCGAGCTCGGTGAAAAATTAGCCTTTTTTGCCGCGGAAGTGTCATTCCAGCGATACATCTTCAAGCAAGGTTTAATATATTTGTATTTAAATATAGCTGTTTTAAACTATAATTCTTCAGGTTTGGAGGTCGAGTAGTGAGCTCGGCGCAATGAACAGTTCACCTCACGTCAGTTATTTCATTTTATAAAAAATTTGTTTAAATATGAATTAATACATATATGTGGGACAATGTTGATCAATATATTCCACCTAACAAGCAAGTTTAAGCGATTCTTTTTGCAGGATTATGTACCTCATTGCTCACCAACAGAACAGATGCCGAGTACGATGCAAGCAGTTGCTGAGAATCGTCATTTCAATGTAGGCGCGATGGTTTCCCCGAAATCGGGTCCCGGTAGGCCTTCCGTCCCTCAACCTTTGTTCAATACTAGCGGTAGTACAACACGTCTTCCCCCAACACAGGCCCAACCAGTTCCCCCTTCATCACAAATGCCTCAACGTTCTGCTCAGGCGTCTCTTTCCGGTCCACTTCCTCATCATTATCAACAGCAGGAACAACTTGCTTCAACTGGAAACGCTGATATTTCTTCAACTGGTCCTTCTAGTGCTACAAATGCGATGTTCCGTGTACAGATGTGGTCTAACAATTTCGATAGTGGCGTTCATTCTATGAATCATAGTTCGGTAGGTTTATTTCCATAAAATGTTTCCATATTCCATGCAGTAAATTTTGATATCTTCCGAACTTTCGACTTCCCTCTGATTTTGGGAACTTAATCTATTCATTGCATTGACTTCTAACTTAATCTGATATTAACAGTCAATCGTGTATCACTTTTAATATAATACAGCCGGTTTGTATTGTGAATAAAATAAAACGATAGTGAAGCTTGGAAACTTTTGCTTCTAGTCAGATCTAAAATTTCAGTCATTTCATGAAATTTTGTGGTGCATTCGTTTAAAAGTGAGAAAAAAAGATTCCAAATGCTAGGCAATTCTTATCACTATTTATTTGAAGGCACCATCAGTGCTATCAGTCAATTCCCTACGTGCTGGATCGCAAATTTCGACTATGTCCGATGATGCACATTCACGGATTGAGTTAACTGATCAGCAGCAAATAAAATTCGAAAATATACCGTCAGATCTAGGACGTGGGTCACAGGATGGTGAAACACGGAATGCAGTTCCAGAGCTCATACATTTACTTAGTGACGCTGATGAGGTTTACATTTCTTAGCGAAATATATATTTTAGTTACACAGAAATTGATTGCTCATGAAGTTGTGAGGGAAGACCTTTCTCTGAACTTCGTACATGCTTTTAATTTGGGTGATAGTCTTCATTTATCTCGTCATTAAAAAATATTAATGGGTTCATGGCGAGATTTTGTGGAGAGAAAAGCTAAGTGCAGATTTTTATTTGAAGCAATTCCAAAACTGCTAAAATTTCAACGATCACGTTTTAGGTGGTAGTACAGCGTGCAGCTACTACGATACAAACAATTGCTAAGATTGATTCCGAAGAACCTCTGTATGCAGAACCTTATTTACGAGCAGCTGAAGTCATAACTGCTCTGAAAGATCTGTTGAGAACAAAGTCAAATAAACCAGTAAGTACTGGTTTGGTTTTTAAGCAGAGTTTTCTGTTTAGATTTCGAAAATTAATCACATTTTAAGCGGAATTTATAAACAATTTTTCAAAAAAAATTGATTACAAAAGATTTGATTTATAAGATTGAAACAGTCCTCTCTAAAATTTTACATCGATTAAAACAGCCTTTTCTAAAATTCTGCATGGACTAAAGCAGCCCTCTCTAAAATTCTACATCGATTAAAGCAGCCTTCTTTAAAACTGTTCATCTTTTTATGAAATCATTCCAGAATCATACGAAATAAACGCAGATGAAGTTGTATTTGTTGCTATATTTATACATTTCTGGACATCACAGAGAAATATGCGGCAGCGTCTTTTCTCCAAATGAAGATCTCATATTCCTGTTTGAAATTCTTTACTTCTTTACTTTCAGGCCATCATTAAACCAACGCTTGGTGCTTTATTTCATATTTCTGAACGTCGTGATGGTCTTGAAAGTATTTTAAAAATAAATGATCAAACAAAGGGGTCATTGTTGGTCGATATTATTCAGCATATTAAATTTACGTGAGTTTCCTACTTTATTTGTTTGACATTTTTTCGAATTCTAAAAAAGTATGCGATACCACCATAAAAGATTTTTTTCCACCATTGCTTAGAGTATTCTTTATCTTTTCGGGTGTTTGACGTTGTTTTTCGATCTATCAGATTACAGTGCAGAGTTAAGAACAAATATATGGACAAATAGTTTGGAAAAGTCAGAAACTTTTCCTGCTGCTTTTCAGCGGTGGTTCAGCCTTACGCTACGCGATTTTAACATTTCATACGATCATTGCTGTGAAATCGGCTGATGGAAATAATGTCGAAGTGGCTCGAGCTAATGGTGCCCTTCAGGCTCTGGTTCAGTTTCTCGATCGTGAAAGCAATGAAAAGCTTCTTTCAGTAATTGTTGAATGTGTGCGTTTGCTTTGTGATAAAAGTCAGTCGCAAAGGGTTAGTCATATTTGATATAACTAATAGGATTGCTTCTGTCGAACTTATATTGTGATCACTGTCTTTTTTTAAATATGAATTCTGTCCTTCGGAATTCTTTTATCTAATCCTTAAAATTTATCCTGGAGAAATTTTAAAGAATTTGTTGGAATTACGAGACGATCAAGTGAAGTCATAGAAAATTTAAGTCGTCTTTTTTTTGATTAGATAAGAGTGATCCTTGTTGCGGGGTCTAACCAAGGATTTAATCAGAAAATTTCAAAGCAAATTTTGTCCGAAATTGTAATTGATAGAATTTTTAGAATTCACGGTTTTCTTATTTTCCAAATTTCAGGCACTGTTTCTGCAGTTAAATGGCCCATCCAAATTGCTTCACATATTGCGTGTGTTACGCTATGAAGGTTTACTCTGGAGGACTACTCAGCTTTTAAAAATTTTTTCCAATGCGGTAAGTCTTCATAATTTCTGGATTACAATCCTTATCTTAAAGGCTTTTTAGATTTGAAGAATTAGAGCTTTTGCACTCTAGAAGTAATAGAAAGTTCAAAACTCTTCCCGAATACTCCCATTTTTAGGATCCTCAAACAATAGTGAAGTGTGGTGGCTATGATGTCTTGCATAAACAGCTGGAACATGCCAGTCAGCGGCTAATTATTTCAACTTTGGAATGTATCAGGAATATGTCTGACGTACCCACCAAAGATATGGATGTATCATCGCTTCTTAATAAGCTTTTGCAACTTTTGGGTATCTTTTAATTTTATTTTTTCTTTTTAAGTGATGATTAAGCGTGCATTATGTGAATAGTTTATGCTAAATTTTGGGATTTGATTTATTTTGTTACAGCTATTCTGGTGTTAACCTTCTACCGTGTCATTACTGTTCACGACTTATTGTTAATAGTTTTGGAAATGATGATTAAACTTGAAGAGCTCTCTGTCTTAAGATTTCTTTAATCAACCCACACTTCTTTGATTGGCAGAGTTAGTTCATTTACAAAACTGTTTAGGTGCGATGGATCCAATTGTTATTTTGTATTGCACCGGAATTTTATCGAATTTATTGGCCAATAACCAGATGAACAAGGAATTTTTATTCAGTCGAGGAGCAATACCAACTTTGTATCGTGTTTTGATTAGTTCATATAGTATACCAGCAAGCACTCCAAATCAGCAGCAAAGAGTGGAAGATATACAGGTATTTCAAAGGAATTTTTTTTTCTCAATTTTTTAAGTAGCACAAATTTTGAAACCGGCGTGCTTTCTTCGTTGAGAATATTTTGAATTTTCGCAGGTTTTTCATTATTGTGATTATTAATTAAAAAATTGAGGTAATTGGGAAAGTTTCCGGATTGAACTAATTATGGAAAGAAACTAAATTTAAGGACACGTTACTGTAAAGTAAATCAAAGATGTAAAATACCTTTACTAATTGTAGGAATATATTAGTTATCAAGCATTTTGGTACGTGCTGTTAGTTCTACTTGATAATAGATCAAAATTTATTTATAGGAACGTGCGTTAGCAACATTACGTCACCTGTGTGTCGGATATACTCATCAAGTTGAAGCACAGAAAGCTGTCCTTCAACAACAGTATGCCGCCGATTTTTTGCTTCGGAAACTTACTGAAATGAGGCCTTCTATACTGAAACAGACACTTCAGGTTGGGACTCGAAATTCACTTTCATAAAAACTATTCTTCAAATTCACTGGATCTATATTTCAACTTATGACTTGGACATAAATAAAATCAAGCGTAGATCGTGGCTGTTTGTAATTTCTTGAAAATATGAAATATTTTCAAGTGATACGTCCAAGACCGTATTACTTTTTCCGCTCTCTCTTTAATAGTGGAATTTATTGTGACTTAAACAAAGAGGTTAAATCTAAATTTCAGATACTGAATAAAGCAGCTTTGCAAGATACAAATCTTCCTTTGTTTCGTGAAATTCGTCTGAAACAAACACCCGATTGCGAGACAAATTTTGTGGAACGTATTATATTGATTCTAAAGGTCGCATGTGACCAATTACCATCGGTAAAATGTTTAACGCCTGGATTCTTATAGTTTCCAATCAGTTTTCGATTTTCCAAAAATATCTTAAGATAGAATGAATCAGTCAGAGAATATTTTAGTGCTTAAAAAAAGGATAGAAGTACATTCGAAAAAAGAGAATAGAACAGGTTCTGCGGACTTATCTTTACAAGTTTTAAATGTTGAATATGTGAATTTGTTATTTTCAGACAAAAATGGTTGAGGAAGTGCGCGTTGCAGATCTTATTCAGCTATCATTGTCCACTCTTCAGCTTCTGTGCCGTGATTCACTTCTTCTGAATCAGGTTATCTTTTGAGTTTTAACTGATTCTTACGTTTTTCAAATTTATTTTCATTCACGAGGAAATGGAAATTTAAACTTGCAGATATCATTTTGCCTTAGAAGAGCTGATTTCCTAATGTTTCGCGGTCGAGATGGTGATTGTGCGGCATTGCTACCAGTCTTTTGCTTATATCAAAGTTATGTGAAGGATGAAAATTTGGATAGGAGTGCACTCGGTCTTATATATGAACTTTCTTCGCATCCAGAAGTTGGTGTTGCCTTGAAATAATTTATTTGAAATCCAATATATTTACTGGCATTAGTGGTTGTTATTTATTGATCGCTTTATATCATGAGAAGCTTTGTTTTCCTACTGAGTGAGCTAATAGAACACCCTAATCAGAATTCATAAAGATAACATTCGAATTCATCAAGATACGTTTCAGTTGGCTGCATTATATGCTGCAGACAGTGGCTTGATGGCAGCTTTACATCATTATTCACAAAGTCGAAACCAACCTTTTGGTTAGTTTATATTATTTTAAATATTGAACATTGTTGAATTCAAAATGACTATATTAGATCCTAAGTGTTGAACATCTGATCTCAAAGTATGATCGTAAAAATCGCAAACACTGTAGACAACAGCTCTTGAAACATGAAGATTGAGAAAATCTGTAATCGGAGTGCATGCTTTATTAATTAGTCTTAATATTGCACTTAAGAACGAAGTTACGTGAGGGTTCGGTTGTTTTAGTAAATCGAGTTAATAACGCTGAATATTATTTAGTTTCTTCTAAAAGAGGAATATTATAAATTATAGGCAATATTAGAAATCGAAATAAGTTATATGTATGCAAAATTAAATAAAAATATTAGTACTTTTTCGAATTTTTTCAGCTACGTATGCCAAGCAGGCTTATGAACGCAGTGTACAAGGCGGGAATCCATCCATTCTTTATCAAAATTTCCCCTTGCCACCTTCATCTCATCGTTTGGTGTTGCATTCGGCGCAACCCGGTGGACAGCCGAGTGTACCGTACAATGGTTATTCTTCCCAACAAATTCAATATCCTCAACAGACCTATGAGACCAATAATTCCTACAGTACTATGTCGCCTCCATCTGGATCAATGGCACTTCACTATCCCTCCCTACCACAACAACAAGCTCAATTATCAACTCCTGCATCTTTAACTTCATATCCTAACTTGGAAGCTCCTGGTGTTCACGTTCAATCTCAGGTAAATTTTAAATGAAATAATTCAAATTTCTACGCTTATTCAAATTATGCCTTTTTCTTTTCACAAATTTTTACTTTCATTCGATTATCTTTTTTATCAAGCCCTTGCAATATAACCGTTTGAAGAGATTCTGTTATTAAATTCTGTTATTTGTTATTTTCCACAATCTTATGAAATATTTACTGGGGTTCGTTTTAGACTTTGTCAGCTCCTCAGCACCAAGTACCTTCTGATAATCAAGCAGGTCCCGTTATGTATGGACGTGAAGGTCCATCACAAAACGCCGCTAACACGTCCAATAACATGGAATATTCTTCGGGAGAAGTGTGGCCTGAGGTTTTTTTCATGAAAATTTCCAGTATAAACTGCAAAGCTTTTAAAATACGTTGCGGGATCTTTTGTACTAATCAAAACTTTCGAACTTAATAGCAAATCATCATTTCGGAATGCGTATTAGTTACTTTGATGTGCAAAACGGAGCAAGTTTTTAGATTAAAACATATTTAACTCCTCAGTTGAATATATTTTTTCTCAGGATCTTTCTGGACTTTCAATAAATGACGATCCATTTGCAACAATGTTTACACAGCAGTTCGATTTACCTCAGCAAAGACATCACTTGCGATCCGCATATCCTTCTGGTCTCTTTCATGAAATTATTTCTTAAAAGCAGAAATTTGTTTAACAGCCTATATTAAATTTTAGAAATCATTCTTCCCGTTGAAGTTAAAAATATTGATGGTTATGCTTATTTATGTCATGTTAATCGTATATTAGAATCGTTAAGCATTCTTTTAAAATACAGAAATTGTCTTCGATGAAAATGTGTCTTTTTTTTTTGCCGCAGCATTGTTTTCCTTTTTAATTTTAGCTCGAGGAGAGCATAATGGAGGCTCGTTAAATGCTTACTGTTGTACTGGACCACCGAATGTTAACAGTACCGATCAACCGATGGAAAGCGTCCATATGGGCAGTCCCGATGCTCCGTCTTCTTGGAACGATCCAACACATAACAGCAATTTCGGTGATTTCCAAATGTAGTATGTCTCCGAGTGCCATAAACAGTTGTAAATAAATAACTGATTACAAGAAATTTAGTGCGTGAATCAAGGCATAAAATTTATTCGCCAATCAAATGTTCATATATATTAATATTGCTAACTAATTAAGCCATTTTAATTATGTTACAAGTCATCTAGCTTTCATTCTTTCTGGTGGCAGAAAAGGATATAAATCAGATATATAAAAATGTATCAGATATATAAAAATTACATTTTTAGATGTGCGACTATACGTAAGTATTGGTGGGTATTAGATAAAGCCTGGTTATAGAAAATCGTAGGATCTTTGTTGCGATTTGTTAGGTCTATAGAGTTATTTCGATTTGTGGAATCACTATTTCCACCTCTTCATTTCTTATTTCTTCAGTAATTCATATGCATAATGATTTGCTTTCTAAACGTTTGAATTGCATTTTTAAAAGTGTTTTAGAATTTTCAACACTTACATATTTCTATGTTGTTTTCATGAATCTGATTAAGTTTGCAGATTTTTGCGGAATTATAAATCAATATAAATCAACCTCATTAAGGAACAGAAGCTATGGATGGATAAGTGGACTAGGATGTTGAATTATGGTAATTGGTATTAGGATATTGCAGCGTATTAGTTGAGATTAACTAATAACTGTATTACTTTCCTTTTTTGCNTATAAATCAACCTCATTAAGGAACAGAAGCTATGGATGGATAAGTGGACTAGGATGTTGAATTATGGTAATTGGTATTAGGATATTGCAGCGTATTAGTTGAGATTAACTAATAACTGTATTACTTTCCTTTTTTGCTGCCACATTTGTTGATTTGAAAAAATTTTTTAGAGCTCAAGTTAGTATTTTAGTTAGCTTGTCCAGTGATATCTTTTACTTCCTTTCTCTCTGTATAGTCAAGGGTTGCGGTGAGTTATTTTCGGTTAGAGTATCAGGATATCTCTATTTTGATAAGCACAACAAGTTTCTGCAAATAGGCGGCAATTCAATCAAATATAATCTTAGTTTCATGCGATTAATCCACTTCATTTTGTTGTCTGTTTTTAAAAGAATAGTAAAAAAACAGAAATGAAAAAGAAAATGATAGTTAGGAGTAAGACATTCTTTAATATGTAAATCAGATAGCGCTGACTCATTTGGCTTGCTTTGTCTTTTTTGTTGTTCCATATATTTCCGTATCGCTATGCATTTTTGTGCAGGTTTTTTTATCATGCTCATGAGCCGAGTTTTTCGTACATCTCGGCTTCTCTTTTGCCCTTTATCTCCCTTTCGAGGAGATTATGCAAGTCAGGTTACAAATATTACTTCGTAGGAAAAATGCAGGATATCTCCGAAGAATCTTTGACTGATAAAAATCAACGCTTTTTAAATGACCATTAATTTATACGTTTCAGTGTTGGAAGGCATGCATACAACTATTACTATTAGCTGTATGAAGAAATCTTATGTATGGATTAAGTTCTGAGTAATATTTCAACATGGAAGGTTTGATTCAAATCGTTAGCAAATGATAGGAATATATAGCTGATAGAAGGAAGCATGCTGATCATGTTGATCATACTGCATAATATCCTGTATTTATCCACTGCAAACTGATTTGCTCAAAATATTTCTTTTTTTTGTGGTGTTTTTGTAGTAGCATTTTCTTTCCGAAACTTTGCAATAATGTTTCCATTGTTTCAACTTCTCGAGTACTGTAGCAATTCTGCCTACAAAATCATTCAACGAATGTCATTTTAATCTTATATATTATACAGGTTATATTTATACTGTTGTCGTTATTATTGGACATTATAAATCAATGAGAAATGTTATAAAATTTTTCATTTCTTATGCTTACATTAATGAAACGCTAGGTGGAACTAATAAGCTGGAATTGTTTGTATGAAATTAAGATTGTTTATCAAATGGGGTAAGTACCACATTTAAACACTGCAACTGAATGATTGAAGATCATCATTGAGAAGATTCAAAGCTTAGGATTTCTTTCGTTTACGCGATGTTTCATTTAAAAATTAAGTTGGATATGTGGAGCTTCACTTCCGGAAATTGCAAATGTATCGTACTCATTGGCGGAATATGAATTACGGATACTGCTAATCAAGCATAAGATCATCATTGAGAAGATTCAAAGCTTAGAGTTTCTTTCGTTTACGCAACATTTCACTTAAAATTAAGTTGGATGTGTGGAGCTTCACTTCCGGAAATTGCAAATGTATCGTACTCATTGGCGGAATATGAATTACGGATACTGCTAATCAAGCATTATATGGGAATAATTAATATTGCAGCGATGATTTTGAATGTGTTTACCGGATTGGATTATTTCGAAAAAATTCGACAAGAAAATGTTGCCGAACAAAGAAAGCTACATTGATTTTATTGAGTATGAGGGTTATTCGTAAGTGAGATATTTTAAATTTCAAAAATTCATATCTTTTAAAAGTTTCAATATTTTTTCAATGCAAAAGTTTTTGTTTAGGAAGGACTAGGCACTTAGCGAATGTTTACATTTGGCTCTATTAAAGTTTTGCACTCTAATGTTGTTCCATTCCTACCTGCCACATTATTCGTTCTTTACATATATATATATATATGTATGTGTGTGTGTGTGTATGTGTGTATCGTGTGTATGTATTCTCCGAACTGTAAAGTGAAATTTGTCTGATTGATTTAGCAACAAATGTTAAAGTGTTCATTGTAATTTCTAGCAAGTTCCAATTCCAAGAATTGAAGGCAAATGAAAGAGTGTTAGAAAAGTGGAGTGAGCTGTGGAAATAAAGCATAAAATAATTTGTTATCATTTGAAATTCTTTAGTAGCAACAGCAACAGGTTATGTTTTTATATAATCTGTCACTTATTCTTCATTCGGTACTATCTGAAGAAAATGTGATGTAAAATAAGTATCAGATTTTTTTATTATTATTTCTTAACTTTTACAACAAAAATATATTTGTTTGCTTAATCGTAAAAATTAAATTATTGCTACAAACTCTTTCAAATTTCATATAATAGTAAAGTAATTTTAGTAAAGTAATTTTAGTAAAATAAAGTAATTTTAGTAAAGTAAAGTAATTTCAGTGAAGTAAAGTAATTTCAGTAAAGTAAAGTAAAGTAATTTTAGTAAAGTAATTTCATTAAAGTAAAGTAAAGTAATTTCAGTGAAGTAAAGTAATTTCAGTAAAGTAAAGTAAAGTAATTTCAGTAAAGTAAATTAAAGTAATTTCAGTAAAGTAAAGCAAAGTAAAGTAATTTCAGTATGGTAAAGTAGTTTTAGTAAAGTAAAGTAATTTCAGTAAAGTAATTTTAGTAAAGTAATTTCAGTAAAGTAAAGTGAATTTGATGGAATAATAAAGTAATTTCATTTTTTCCAATCAATTTAAGATTTCATTTCATACTTAATTGAATTAAATGAAAACAACGACAAATCATTCCGAGAAATCTTGAAAGTTCGAGAATTTCCTTTGGGAAGCTTATCAAAATATTTATCTAATGAGAGGCAGATGATGATTGATAGGCTTACTGCAAATTTATTTAAAATATGAAATGAGAATTTGAAAGGAAATAATAGAATAACAATAATAGATGATAATAATGATAATCGCAATAATAATTGTTATTAATCGTAATAATAATTGTTATTATTAATATGAAGAATTTGTAAATAAGTAACAAATAATAATAGTAATAGATAATAATAATAGTAATAGTAATAGTAATAATAATGATAATTATTAATGAATAGTAATAGATAATAATAATGATAATATTTAATAATTATTGTTATTAACATGAAGAATTTGTAAATAAATAACAAATAACAATAGTAATAGATAATAATAATGGTAATAGTAACAGTGATAATAATGATAATTATTATTAATGAATAGTAATAGGCAATAATAATGATAAAAGTTAATAATAATTATTATTAACATGAGGAATTTGTAAATAAATAACAAATAACAATAGTAATAGATAATAATAATGGTAATAGCAACAGTAATAATAGTGATAATTATTATTAATGAATAGTAATAGGTAATAATAATGATAATAGTTAATAACATATATTATTAACATGAAGAATTTGTAAATAAATAACAAATAACAATAGTAATAGATAATAATAATTATTATCATTATTAATGAGTAGTAATAAATTATTAATGAATTTATAAATGATTACATTTGCTTTTTTGTCGATTCATATTCATTCATTTGATTAGATTCTAAAAACTATTAATGATCATAATTAAGATTACTTATTATTGATTTACTCAAAATGCTACCAAAACAACAAATGTATAAAATATGAATGAGAATTTAAAAGTAAATAATAAATATAAACAACTGACAATAATAATAGTTAATATTGCAAGCAAATAATAAATATAAACAATTGACAATAATAATAGTCAATATTGCAAGCAAATAATAAATATAAACAATTGACAATAATAATAATTAATATTGAAGTGTTTTTGAAATTTCTAGCAGAATAATTTAAATTAAAAAAATTAATTAATTAATTATAGCTAAATTTGTTATTTCTTTGCATTCAATATTATTTATTTATATAAATGAAAAAGATTTCAAACATAATTATTTAATTATTGAAAAAGAAAATTTTCTATTTCAATTATTTTATTTGAATATAAGATTTTAAAAATATTTCAATATTATATTTTTAACAGTTTGATAATTTTCTTATCAATTATTTTTTGTTATCATCTTTTATCAATTATTTTTTGCTATCATCTTTTATCAATTATTTTTTGCTATCATCTTTTATCAATTATTTTTTGCTATCATCTTTTATCAATTATTTTTTGCTATCATCTTTTATCAATTATTTTACTTTCAAACTATCATTCACATTTTTACATATAGTTTAAATTAAAGATTATTTTGGAAAACAGAAAATTGTATACAACAAAATATATTTAATGAAATTTAATAAAATTTTTCCATTTTTTCTTTTTGATTAAATTTTAAGAAATCATTCTAAAATTGAGTTAACAATAAAAAGACACGATTTATTCAAATGCATATGATATTAGTTATGCATAAATCCATTCCAAAATCGATGAAGAAATCTGGTTGAGAAGCAAAAAAAAATGATTATTTATAAAAGTTAAATTATAACTGAGTGTTATTATTATTATTATTATTATTATTATTATTATTATTATTATTATTATTATAAACCATTATTAAAATAGACATTTTCAAAACTACAATTACTGAAATAAATTTTGATTTGCCCTACCAGTTCAAATTGAAGTACTTATTCATTTATGAGAGCGCTATGATACTGTTGCATGTTGCATGTTGCATGATACTCTTTATACATGCATAAATGCAAAAGAATTCAGTTAAATAAAATCATAAATTTTTCAACTAATTTATAATTCTCGTCATAAATGCGATTGCATGACACGTTTTATACATGCATGCATGCATAAATGCAAAAGAATTCAGTTAAATGAAATGATAAATTTTTCAATTAATTTATAGTTTTCGTTATAAATGAGATTGCATAACACGCTTTATACATGCATGCATGCATGCATGCAAAAGAATACAGTTAAATGAAATGATTTTTCAATTAATTTATAGTTTTCGTTATAAATGAGATTGCATAACACGCTTTATACATGCATGCATGAATAAATGCAAAAGAATTCAGTTAAATGAAATGATAAATTTTTCAATTAATTTATAGTTTTCGTTATAAATGAGATTGCATAACACGCTTTATACATGCATGCATGCATGCATGCAAAAGAATACAGTTAAATGAAATGATTTTTAAACTAATTTATAGTTTTCGTTATAAATGCGATTGCAGTTTTCGTTCCATTGAATGAATGCAAATCAAAATTGCACGAATCTTTGATAAGTGTAAAATTTCACATTAAAATAGATAAAATTGAAATTGGATTTGTTTTTTTTTTTTAAATTCAAAAATATACAATGATAGCTATAAATGGTTAGACAAAAAATTTTGAATTATATATTATTATTCCCTATTTTCTTAGAACTAAACAGATGTTTGCTTAATTTTTCTTTGTTTCTTTCTTTTCGTAACGAAATCTCTCACTAAGTTACTATTTGAGGAATTACAAAGAGAGAGAGAGAGAGAGAGAGAGAGAGAGAGAGAGAAAGGGAAAGGGAAAGAGAAAATGAAAGGGAAAATGAAAAGGAAAGGGAAAGAAGGGAAATGGAAAAGGAAAAGAATGGAAATGTGGATTTGGTAATGGAAGAATATCCCTCTCATCCCCCTCCTCCTCCTCCTCCTCCTCCCCCTCCTCCCCCTCCTCCTCCTCATTTATACGGATGATTTTGGGAACTTATGTTGTTTCAATACTGTTGCTGCTCCAACTGCTAAACAATCTCCGCTACGATTCTTATTCCAGCAACCGGCATATATCTCTTTCTGGTCATCATCATCATCATCATCATCCATAGCACCCATCTACCCATCATCAACATCATCACTGTGCTTTAACAATCGTCATTATTTTATTTGCGCACCGCTTAGTCAGTCCTTCCCGTTCCCTTCTATTTTCATCAATCCGTTCATTCTCATAATTTTCCGAATAAGCAATCATATTTACCAACAGATGTATAGAATACTCACATATGCATGAATGTTCCGTAATCCGTTCCGTATATAAAAAAAAAAAAGCATACCAATAATGATTCCGTTTAGCGTTCAGATTATCCGTAATTGTTTTAGGTGTTTATTAAGGAATTCGATAATTAGTTTTATACGGGAAATTTATTTCTTAATATTTACCATAATAATTAATTCGATAATTAGATTGCTTAATTTCAATTTATTTCATTCAAATCATTTTGTTTATTTATTGTTTAGTGATTGTTGTTTTTTAGTTTCGAAAAATTGATCCGATAATTTATTTCAAAAATCTTTAAATCATCCAGTTTTCTTTTTAGTCGAATAACCTAACCAAATCACAAAAGTTGTTAGGAAGAAAATAGGCTAAGTAAGAGAAAATTCGGATCATAATTTGATGAAATGAGTTGCATGCAAATTTCATCCACTATTCTGGAAAAGTTATAATGAAGATGTATGAAAGATTTAGGCTCACAATTCGTATAAAATAGTTGGATCTGAGTGGTGGTAGGAATAAATGTAAGATAATTTTTCCAATTTTAGCTAATACTGCAGTTTTATCATTTAGAAGTCAGATTCTGATTCTTATAATAGATTCTCAAACATTTTTGAGATAATAAGAAATAAGCTTTATTTATTCTGTTTTATTTTCCTGATTTCTTCATTTCAATTTACAATCATTGAAAATTCATTGAACGGTCTGTTTGTTGCTAAGTTCGTCTTCATCCATATCATGAAAATGTCTTCTTAAATGAGATCTTTGCGGTAAAATGTCATGAAAAATAAGCAAGTTAAATGAGCGAAGGCCGTTGTTTGTCATACCGTTACCGATCAGTGTTATCTTCCTATCTATCTACATTATCTTCCACCTAACACAATATTTACCCATTTAGAGGCCATAAATATTTCAGTAAACACTACTGTCAAAATGAATAATAATTCGAATAAGTACTTCCGAGGTTTTCACCCTTTCTAATATTATCAAATTAGACACTAGACACTTGTTCATTTGATAAGCTTAATTTCTCATTGCTTGCATTATCTTTTGAATTCATTGAGGTATTATTATTATTATTATTATTAATAGATTCGTAGAATGATTTTCCGGACATATTGAAATTCAGTTCGTAATGAATTTGAAAAATTGAATTTCCTATGAAAAGCAATAAAAGATATTTGGTGTAGATATTGAAGTCAAGTTAGTAAGATAGTCATTAATACAAGTCAAGTTAGTAAGATAGACATTAAGAGAAGTGACATTCAATTATTCTAAATCAAAATCATGTTTCTAGTATAGGTCATTGTGATCATTCATCAATAATATCCCTTATGACCAGGTAAGAGAAAGTAATTGCATTTTAACAAATCTACGGAAATAATTTTAGCAACAAATGAGTAATCTGTAATTTACCTTTTCTTCTTTCCAATTTATCTCTTATTATCTTTTTGAACTGAAATATCGATGATTTATCATCCTTTTTTAGTTTTACTTGCATTTTCAATTTACATTAAACTTTTTTTCTCTTTTAAATTTCATTAATTAAAATTTTTCAAATTCTAATTTAAATGCTAGACATTTTACTGGTTCATTTCTCACGATTTAGCATACGGTGATAAGAAAATGATAATGAATATTAGAGGATTTGAATACAGAAAATATATGATCTCAACATATCCATCTCTCATCAAACTTTTTGTCCATTATGTTCGCAGAAGTGATAAGTAGTTGTTAGGAGAGAGGAAAAAGGGAAAGAGAAAAAGAAAACTACTGTTATAATTTTAATTGATTAATGAATTTTAAATTCTTCTCCATTATAGTTCGTCTAGTTTAGTTTGTAAGACTAATTTCATTCCATTCTTATTGCTTACTTTTCCATTTCATTTTTAGCTTAACTAAAATGTTTGCATAGTGTAAGGAGGCTATTTGAAGAAGTTAGTGTAAGCTTTTTCATCTTCTATTAAGTTAGTGTAAGAATTCGGATGTACAAAATGAACAATCTTGACAATTCGAATCGACTGATAGATGAAGATGTAATAGCTTTTAATCTGTACGATAAGATTTTTTCTTGTTCAATGTTTGGAATTATGTTTAAAAAAATGGAACGAATCGTGTTCAATTCTTTAAGCTAAATTTTTCCTTCCTTCTGAAAACATACAAAGGCTAGTTTTCCGTGTGGAACATTGAAAACTCTTCAAAATGATGTTGTACAGTAATTTAAAATGCTTTTTTCTTTAATGACTATTTAAATATCTGAAAAAATTGTGACTAATTTTAAAGAGAGCTTTCGTTCAAAAAGTATTATAAGCTAGAGAAGAAGAAATGTGCGACGAAGAAGTAGCAGCATTGGTGGTTGATAATGGATCCGGTATGTGCAAAGCCGGATTTGCTGGTGATGATGCACCTCGTGCTGTATTTCCATCAATAGTTGGGCGACCAAGGCATCAAGTAAGCTTTTGAACTTTGTATACATAATTAATACCAAACAAGTTAAAATAAATAAGAAGTTCTTGTCTGATTCCGAATGGATATTCATCATAGTAAGAAAATTATAATTAATTTTAAAAAATTAATTTAGAAGGTTGTGATGATTTTCGCATATCGATGAAAAATTTTACAGGGTGTCATGGTCGGTATGGGTCAAAAAGATTCATACGTAGGTGATGAGGCTCAATCGAAGAGAGGTATCCTTACCCTGAAATATCCAATTGAGCACGGTATTGTTACAAATTGGGATGATATGGAGAAGATCTGGCATCATACATTCTATAATGAACTTCGAGTTGCGCCCGAGGAACATCCGGTACTTCTTACCGAAGCTCCATTGAATCCAAAGGCAAACAGAGAGAAGATGACTCAAATCATGTTCGAGACATTCAATACTCCAGCTATGTACGTTGCCATTCAAGCTGTACTGTCCCTGTACGCTTCCGGTCGTACTACTGGTATTGTACTTGATTCCGGAGATGGTGTTACTCATACTGTACCAATTTATGAAGGTATCATTTAATTCAAATCAATTTTCATACTTCCAATGATCATTATTTCAAATAACAATGTGAATGGATTTTAATCAAAAGCCAGCGATTACCAACAATGATGGAAGTTGTCTCATATTTAAGGACAAACTAATTATGCTTTCGCTATTTCAGGTTACGCATTGCCACATGCAATTTTGCGTCTGGATTTGGCTGGGCGGGATTTGACAGATTACTTGATGAAGATCCTCACTGAGCGTGGTTACTCATTCACGACCACGGCTGAACGTGAAATTGTGCGTGACATCAAAGAGAAACTGTGCTATGTTGCCTTAGACTTCGAGCAGGAAATGGCAACTGCTGCATCGTCATCATCCCTTGAAAAATCTTATGAATTGCCTGATGGTCAAGTGATTACTGTAGGCAACGAACGATTCCGATGCCCAGAAGCTCTATTCCAGGTCGGTCAAGAATTCTTTATGGAAAGAAAATTGCGATTATGATGTTACCACTTTTAATTCTCCGTCTTTCATTTCTGAATGAAATTTCGATTTATTTACACTTTTCAGCCATCCTTCCTGGGTATGGAATCTGCTGGTATCCATGAGACAACCTACAATAGCATTATGAAGTGCGATATCGATATTCGAAAAGATCTCTATGCAAATAATGTTTTGTCTGGTGGTTCGACTATGTACCCCGGTATTGCAGATAGGATGCAGGTTGGTTTTATTCTCATCTTTTAGAAAAGCTTTGCTTTTGAGACGATTGAATCAAGGTACTTTAAACTTTAATTCCATTTCAAAAATTATTTAATTTTTAATGAAATTTTAAAAACGAGAAATTTTATGTAAATTTCAGAAAGAAATCACGGCTTTGGCACCAAGCACTATGAAAATCAAGATTATTGCACCACCTGAGCGCAAATATTCCGTATGGATTGGTGGTTCCATCTTGGCTTCTCTATCCACCTTCCAACAGGTACATTTACTTCTCATCATTATTTGCATCCTATCATATAATCAGAAAAAAAGATTTAAAATAAATTTATCGCTATAAAAAAATGAATCAACAAGTAAAGGCATTGTCACGAACATTATCAATGGTATATATCATCGTTATATTTTATGGAAATTTTACAGATGTGGATCTCGAAGCAAGAATACGACGAATCTGGTCCATCAATTGTACATCGTAAATGCTTCTAAAAACTAAGGATACAGTAATTTCTTCACAACGGCGCAACTCAATAGAATGCGCGAAGATTGCATTCGAGCTATCGGGCGACGTGTTCGTTATTTTAATCATGCACAAAACATGTCTTTTATAACTTGGGATATCAATGTTTTTTTTCTCGCTAATAAATCATTTCCCAAAAAAATCCGCATTTTTGTCATTTGAACATTATATGAAAAAGGTGTCAATAGCCCGCATATAATTTGGGTAAATGAATGAATGAATTATGCACACTATTTCTGATCGTTTAATATATTTTATTTGTTGAGATAAAACTATTGTTTCGTTTCATTTGATAATGCGAGAAGTTTAATAAACATTTTTATGACTATTTATCGTCGTTATTACAAATTAATCATATTCTTTCTACATAAATAATCCACTCGATTAGATAACCATTGTCCACTACGAATAATTAAGGTGTATTAGTGGTTTCATTTTATGATTGTTCATTAGTAATTCCATTTCTTCCACATTTCACAAGTGAAATTTATGATTATTATTAATCATACCTTTTACAAGATTGCAATACTGTATAATCGTCTTGCCAGATGATTATAATGGTTAGAATGAATTTTTCATTTTCTATTTCTTAATTGAAAGAGCTTCTGATTAATGAAGTTGATGTGGTTTGGATGATTTAAAGGGAAAATCACTAATTAAGTAAATTAAGCGGATTTTAATATGATTTCCTCCTATTTTAATTTCTTCCGAAAGATGTTTAAGTGATTCGATGATAATGAATGATTGTCTTCTTTGCGGCTAATCAATTCATTGACATACCATTCTAGAACAAATTACTACACATTCTCCCTATAGATTTGCAGTGATTGTTGTAAAATAGGACTCTATAGATTTGCAGAGATTGTTGTAAAATAGGACTGGGTCTAATATCGCTTTTACTACTGCCACACACACACACACACACACACACACGCACACACACACACACGCACACACACACGCACACACACACACATATATACACATATTTCGTCTTTCTTTCTCTCCCCCCTCTCTCTCTCTCTCTCTCTCTCTCTCTCTCTCTCTCTCTCTCTCTCTCTCTCTCTAATACAACAAATCATTTCTTGTTGTAAAATAGCCGTTGTTATCGTTTCCAACAAATACGAACGACGACGATATGTGTAAGAGAAGAATGTTAGCTTCTTCCTCTTCTATCCCATCCATCCATCCATCGATCCATCCATCTATCCATCCACCCATATATTCTCAAATGATTATCATTCCTTGTTGAATTTCCAACGAGAAGAATTTAAAATTTGAATTCTGAAATTGTTAAAAATGATAAAAGTTTATTTAAAAAATAATCATTTGAAAATTTTTTTTTAGATCACAACGTTTGTGGTAGTAATTTATACGATTTAAATTTATTACAAAAGATTCGATCATCAGAAATTCGCTTCAAATCAATTTTTGCTTTACAAAATGATCAAACTGATAAACTGATAGAATCATTGAAGATAAATCACTGAAGAAAAATCAAATTTAAGAAAACGAAAATTCAAATTTAAGCTACGAAAAATTACGGAAGAGAAAATTTCAAATCGAAATTTTGGTAATCATAAGAAGCATATCATAATGATATATGCCTAATTGGAATTACTGAAAGTGGAAGATTTGAAATGATAATTTGCTCATAGGCTAACACATTGATATCAAACAGTGATAGTTATAGCAAGAGATATCATCTTTTTTGCTAACAGATTGGGGGGACTATTGAAATGAATGAAATTTACAATTAATCGAAATATCGGAAGGGAAATCCGGAAGTATTTTTCAATGTTTCTGGATTTCCCTTCCGATATTTTTTTGAGAAATATTGAAAATATTTCTGGATAAGTTATAAAGAAGAAAACAATGATAACATGTTAACATTATTCTCTTAATTTTTTTTTAATGAATAACATTCTCCATAATGAAAATACGGAATTCTGAAATGGGAAACCAAAAAGAAAACTGAAATAAAGAGATAAAATGTAGTAAAATAACAACTTATCAGTTGTTATCACTGCATTGCTTGAGGAAAGAGATTGGTCAACAATTTTGCACTTCCATATCTATCGTTATCATTTTTCTGCAATGATGAAAATGAAATTCACTAGTTGTATTAATAATTATTATAATTAACGTATTAACAATTAGCACCTTTAATGAAAACTGCTATTAGCAAGCAATTTATAACAAATTTGCTAAGCTTTTTAAAATTTTAAAAATTTTGAGAGAATTGTTGCAGGTCATTAATTACATTTTGTAGAATAATTAATTTGAAGGATTTGTAATAGAAGTTAAATATTGTTAAACATTTTCGTATGAATCATAATATTTCTTAATTGAATCATTAAGCTTTTTAACATCTTAAATATAACGTTGAAAGAAAAGCATAATATTTTAGACGAAGAATCGGAGAGAAGACAATACTTCAGAAAGTATACTGGAATCTAAAAATTATTGATAAGAACAATTTGATAAAATGAACAGTAAAAAATTTCAGACAGAAAATGTCTTTTAAACATTTCATTTTTTTTCTTAAGAAAATTAAAAACAGGTTGGAATTAATTTAAAAACTATTGTGTAATAGTTTCAGGTTACATATTTCATTTATTCCAATAATTAAGAATAAATTAAGAACTCAATCAGATTAATTAATTCAATCGAACCGTTTTAAAAAATTGTGTAATAATTTCAGATTACATATTTCATTTATTTCAATAATTAAAAGCAAATTAAGAACTCAATCAAATTAATTAATAATTCAATCAAACCGTTTAAAAAAATTGTGTAATAATTTCAGGTTACATATTTCATTTATTTCAATAATTAAAAAATAATTAATAACTCAATCAAACTATTTAAAAAATGATTCGTGCTTTTAATCTTCATCTTTTGAATTGAACTATTGAGGAAAGTTTTCTCAACTTTTCTTTAACTCTTTTTAACCTCCAAATTATCAATGATTATCAAAGAATTATCAAAAATTATCAACCATTTAAAATTTTAATTTCTCATTATTGAATTTTTCCTTTTCTTTATTACTAATTTATTCTTATTACTAAAAAAAAATTATTTAACGATTTTAAAATTTTTTTAAATTTTTGATTAACTAAAAATTTAATTGGAATTTTTTAAATTACCTAATCTTTCATTTATCGCAAAAAGGAAAATCACAAAGAACAAACCGAATTAATTAACTGATAATCGATCATGAAGTTGTAGGTTGTAAAAGTTTTTGAAGACAAAAAAGAAAAAAATGAATGCCTCAAATTATGAAGGGAAGAAATTTTTAATTCTCAGAAAGTATTAATTAGTAAAAAAGGTATGCAAAAAGATGAAAGAGCTAAAAATAACAACATGAAGGAAAAAATAGGAAGAAATTCGGAATTAGTTCGAAAAATTTTCCGGATAAGAAATTTGCAGCAAATTGAATATTAAAATGATATTGAGCGGAAGATGCTTGAAGTAGTATATTTTAAATTTTAAATGAGATATATCTGATAAATATATTTATATTTAAATTTAAATCATAATAGATTCATTATAATAGTTTCGTTTAAAAAATATATTGTGAATTACTACTGTATTTTCAGGGTTGAATTAATAAATTATTTATCAGTGATTTATTTTGTACCTAATTTTCAGCTCTTTGTGATGAAATTTTTACGAACTTCTAACTTTTGATAATTGATAATTGATAAAAATAGAAATGTTAAATTCAATAAGAATGCAATTTATTGATGAATTGGGGATAACACAATTTCGAAACCAAATTTTGTTGAATTTCGAAATCAAATTTCGAAAATTTCTTTCAAGCATTTTTGTTGTTGAGAAATATATTTTCGATGAAATTACAAATTCAAAATTTTTTCGAAGAAATTAAATGATATCAGATAAACTGATAAAAATAACTAATTCACGCACTTACTAACTGATAAACATAAATTTATTTCAAATTGCTTTTTAGTATTATAGTTTAAAAAAAAAATTATCAGTGATATAAAATTAAAAACCTAAAATTTTAATTTCTCATTATTAAGTTTTTCTTTATTACTAATTTTTTCTTATCACTAGAAAAATCAAAAAAAAATGAAATAATTAATTAACTAAAAAAATTAGTAAAAAAAAAAAGTTTAAGACAAAGAAATTATCAGTAAGATAAAATTAAAGGCTTTTTAATTTCTAGCATTATAATTTTAAAGAAATTTCTAATTTAACATTTAGCATTAACCAAGTTAACAACATTCAATTAGCCAACAAATGAATGCTTTATCAATTTATCTCCCAAATGAATGCCTTATCAATTTATCATTTTGATCTAAAAACATATATAATTTAAAATAATTTAAAACAAATAAACAAAGGAAGTAAAAAAGTTAAATTTTTAAATTACATTTAAAAAATTAATAATAGCTAATTATCAAATTTAATTATTTAAAATTAAAAACAAAATAAATTGTTTCGTAAAAAATGTAATTATTCATTAATAATTATGATCGATCAATTATGATATTTGAAATTTTATTTTCATATCTTTTTTTCATTTCATATCGGAAAAGATTTAGAGAGAAAATTGAAAAAGATTATTTATGATAGACGAAAATTAAACGGACAATTGCTAGCTATCATTCGATATCTTCCGGCAATGATCGATCAATTGTTTTCAAAATAAACTTCTCTTCAACAACTTTCATCATTTCTTACATTTTTTCAATTTTGCACAAACAAAATATTTCGTTATTTCATTTTGCAGTTAAGCAATAGTATCGTAAGTTAGCATTAGCAATAATAACAACAATAACAACAACATTGGAAATATCAAAAGTGATTGATAAACTTTTTTGTCTATTCATCTAATTACTTTTCTGTTTATCCAGTAACAAGCAAAATCCATTTCAACTTTTATCATATCGATATCAATTCATTGACTATCAATCTCTTGTTCTATTTCGATCTATAATATGATACATTTTATTTTCAGTCTTACTCTCTTCTATCATCAACTAAAATGAACATCAATGAAATATAATTTTGAATGGAGTTGTTTGAAAGGGCGGAGTATTGGTTGAAGATTTTCACAAGAATTTCACTCTCCACTTAGCAATATCATCTGGTGAATTCTCAGGAAAAGGATTTCAACAATAGCCTTTTTATCCCTCCCCCACACAACCAATAGTTGAAATTTGAAAAAAATTTTTTCTCTAACAAATGAGTGAGAATGATAGATACATTCCTGATCCCTCACAACAACTATATAAGCCGGAGAATAGTGTGTGTCAGTAGTAAAAATATATATATATTCTACTGATAGCTTCACTTTTCAATTTTCAACTTCAACCAATCTTATCAGTCATTGTATGACTTTAAGGAATAAAATTTTTTCATCCATCGTGTTGCACAATTTTACAAATCTTCCATGTAGTTATTTTGTGGATTGTTTTGCATATAGAAATTTTGATAAGGCATTTAAATTTAAATTATCACTAAAATCACTGAAATAGAATTACGAATTATTTATTTGATTTTTTGAGTTATCATTTAATGAAGTTCCTCAAATTTTAAATCTCTTAAATTACCTGGAAATGAAATTAGTAAGGTAGAAATTTCATATTGATTTAAGATTTCCGAAAATTTTTTTTTTCACTTTTTTTGTTTTTAATTAAAAAGATTTTCTAGGTAATTTGATAAATCTATCAAATCGAAAATAATAGGTAAATTCAGGTAGTGAATATTTAAATATTAATCAAATGAGATTTAGAGTAACATACTGCTTAATCCTTTGGGTTACATTGGATTATGGATAAGTGTGAAGGAATATTATCTGATTCAAATTTTAAAGATATATTTTAAAGCATATTGAATCTTTTCCATTAGGAAAATTTGTAGGTTAAATTCGCCCAGCAGTATCAATTAACAAAAAAATCATAAATAATGTGCGACGAAGAAGTAGCAGCATTGGTGGTTGATAATGGATCCGGTATGTGCAAAGCCGGATTTGCTGGTGATGATGCACCTCGTGCTGTATTCCCATCAATAGTTGGACGACCAAGGCATCAAGTAAGCTTTTGAATTTTGTATATATAATTATAATTAATACCAACAGATTAAAATATATAATTAATACCAACATATATATTATTAATATATAATTATAATTAATACCAACAGGTTAAATAATTAATATATATAATTAATACCAACAGGCTAAAATAAATAAGAAGTTATTGTCTGGTTTCGGACGAATATTCATCATAGTAGCAAAATTATAATCAATTTTAAAAAACTAATTTAGAAGGTTGTGATGATTTTCGCATATCGATGAAAAATTTTACAGGGTGTCATGGTCGGTATGGGTCAAAAAGATTCATACGTAGGTGATGAGGCTCAATCGAAGAGAGGTATTCTCACCTTGAAATATCCAATTGAGCACGGCATTGTCACAAATTGGGATGATATGGAGAAGATCTGGCATCATACATTCTATAATGAACTTCGAGTTGCGCCCGAGGAACATCCGGTGCTTCTTACCGAAGCTCCATTGAATCCAAAGGCAAACAGAGAAAAGATGACTCAAATCATGTTCGAGACATTCAATACTCCAGCTATGTACGTTGCCATTCAAGCTGTACTGTCCCTGTACGCTTCCGGTCGTACTACTGGTATTGTACTTGATTCCGGAGATGGTGTTACTCATACTGTACCAATTTATGAAGGTATCATTTAATTCAAATCAATTTTCATACTTCCAATGATCATTATTTCAAATAACAATGTGANGGCAAACAGAGAAAAGATGACTCAAATCATGTTCGAGACATTCAATACTCCAGCTATGTACGTTGCCATTCAAGCTGTACTGTCCCTGTACGCTTCCGGTCGTACTACTGGTATTGTACTTGATTCCGGAGATGGTGTTACTCATACTGTACCAATTTATGAAGGTATCATTTAATTCAAATCAATTTTCATACTTCCAATGATCATTATTTCAAATAACAATGTGAGTGGATTTTAATCAAAAGTCAGCGATTATCAACAATGATGGAAGTCCTTTCAAACTTCAGGACAAACTAATTATGCTTTCGCTATTTCAGGTTACGCATTGCCACACGCAATTTTGCGTCTGGATTTGGCTGGGCGAGATTTGACAGATTACTTGATGAAGATCCTCACTGAGCGTGGTTACTCATTCACGACCACGGCTGAACGTGAAATTGTGCGTGACATCAAAGAGAAGCTGTGCTATGTTGCCTTAGACTTCGAGCAGGAAATGGCAACTGCTGCATCGTCATCGTCCCTTGAAAAATCTTATGAATTGCCTGATGGTCAAGTGATTACTGTAGGCAACGAACGATTCCGATGCCCAGAAGCTCTATTCCAGGTCAGTCAAGAATTTTTAATTCTTTACGAAAAGAAAATTGCAATTATGATGTTGCCACTTCTGATTCTCCGTCTTTCATTTTTGATTGAAATTTCTATTCATTTTGCATTTTTTAGCCATCCTTCCTGGGTATGGAATCTGCTGGTATCCATGAATCAACCTACAACAGCATTATGAAGTGTGATATTGATATCCGAAAAGATCTATATGCTAATATTGTCTTATCCGGTGGTACAACTATGTACCCCGGCATTGCTGATCGAATGCAAGTAAGATTCTTATTCTTAGATCAAATATTTTTTCGAAATTGATTGGTATCAAAAAAATGCAAATGTACATAGTTAAATTTCCTCTTTGGAATTTTGTTCTTTTCCACTCTTTCTAATCTTTTTATTTTCCTTTGTTTTTGTTGGAAGAATTGCTTAATTTATTTCAACATTGCAGAAAGAAGTAACAGCTTTGGCACCAAGCACAATGAAAATCAAGATTATTGCACCACCTGAGCGCAAATATTCCGTATGGATTGGTGGTTCCATCTTGGCTTCTCTATCCACCTTTCAACAGGTACATTTACTTCTCATCATTATTTGCATCCTATCATATAATCAGAAAAAAGATTCAAAATAAATTTATCACTATAAAAAATGAATCAGTAAATAATGGCATTATCACGAACACTTATCAATGATATTTATCACTTGTTAAATTTTATGCAAATTTTATAGATGTGGATCTCGAAGCAAGAATACGATGAATCTGGTCCATCAATTGTACATCGTAAATGCTTCTAAGCATTTTTTTTCATTTGCTTGTATATCAATCGAAAATTTATGCATACCGAACATGCTCAAAACAATCATCATCTTTACACAAACATGCATACAATATTATGCTTCTTCTTCTTCTTCTTCCATATATCGCCTTCATACATTTGCTTTTTGTTATTATTATCCAATCTTATCTTATCTTATCTTATCTTATCATCATGGTGCTGGAAATTCATCAAAATAATTCTTTAGATGTTGAAAAAGATGTCAAAGTTGTTCTGTTGCCTTTCAATGAAAAAAAAGCTCTATAACAATAATATGCCACTTTGATTAATTATTAATTTTGTTAATTGCCCGAATCGATCATAACGAATAAATGAATAAATATACATTTGCATATTGCAACCACAATCACATTTATATTATTCGCATACAATTTTTTCTTTATTTTTATATTATGCACATATTTAATGGTAACGAAATCAACTTATCATTGCACCTAGAGTTATCACTGCTTATCATTGCATTGAGTTATCACAGTCTATCATTGCATTAAGTTGATCATTCTATTTGAATACATTGAAATAGTGCAATCAATGAATGATTAACAATTTTATAGTATGGAATGAAATTAATGATATAAGAAGAATTTATTTATTAGAGTGATCCTAATAGAATACTTACAGTTACAAGCAAACATTCCCAATAGAAATTAATTAAAAAATTTTAATTGAAAAATAAAATAAACAATTTAATTAATATTTTACTTCTAATTAGCACTCTTACCTTTCGATATGCAAATATCCTCATTTTTAATATTGAATAAATTATAAAATTAAAAAGATATCATCCAATTCATTTATTAACTAATAATTAAATACAAACATCAAAGAAATTGAAAATATTCAACAAAAAGGTTTCTTAAAATTCAACTTTAAACTTTAATACTTTAATAACTTTAGCGCTTAAATTAAAACAAATAAATCAAATTGAAAATGATTTTAAAGAAATAAACTTTACACTAAAAATAATTATCAGCTTATTACACTTTATCTTTTTTCGCCACCTAATACTTAAATGATATTTGATAAAAAGTTCATTATCATAAAATTGCATAAAATTCATTTTAGCTATTTTTCAATTCCTCAATTTTTGAATTTTATATCCGGGCGCTGAATGTTAGTGCAGTAAAGCAAACAGCAATTGCAAATGCCGCCAATGAGATAAATAAGGCAGTAGTAATTGAAACCTTAAATTATTGAAATTTCTTAATGTTCAATTATTGCTACTAACTTTACATTCGATTTTCTTGAAATATATTGTTGTTAAATTTTAAAAGAAACAAAGATGAAAGATTCAAAATTGAAATGAAGAAATTTCTAATTAACAAAAAACAAAAAAGTTTTTGAATTCAAAAATAAGAAAGAAGTTGAAGTTCATTTTCTCCATTTCAAATATTTAAAATTAACTGAATTAGTATTAATTTAAAAAAGGGAATGGAGAAGTTACCTTTGAACAAATTAATTTCTTTTGAATTGGATGTCGAAGTAAATTTGCATAAGCAATTGTTGTTTCCACCGGACAACATGAGAATAATACATTTTCAAGAAAATAAAATTGCGGAATGAATACTCCAATTGGACCAAAACTTGCAGTTACCGAAGTTTGCGTAAACTGAAATATTTTCATTCTATAAAAGTAACCCTTAATATTCTATTTTTCAACATTCAACTAATTTTGTGCAAATTTTTTTAGGGCTATTATTGACAGATACATTGTAAAAAGTGATCATTCATTATATTGAAATAATTATACTGATAAGGCAATTGGAATGATTCAAAATTATGCTATTGAAAATTGGTAACTGTTGTTTTTGGAGATTTTTAGGATTAATTGTTTATCATATGCAAATCCTCTTATCAGGTGACTCATTATCATAAATAGAAAATGTTGGTCGCATGTCGTTTTTCAGTTGTACATTGTCGATATTTAATTTAAAATGTTGAAATTTTGAGAGTAAGGAATATAGAAGTGAAAACAGCAAAATTTTGAAAAAGGTATGAATATTGATAAGATTATAAAACATAACATTATTTCAATAACACTAATGTTGCCGATATCAGATGATAGTAACATTAACTTATATTCTTACTGTTACCATCACCTGGTCAGAATACGTATCATGAATCACAATCACGATCATGGTCACAATCAATATGCACCATAACTTTATGATTAGCTTTTTATTTTGTTCGGTAACTTAACTTACCGATAAAGGTGAAATAGAGCAATGAATCATAATAGGATATATTGTTATTGGTGATAAGAAATCCTCCGTATCAAATGATAAATCAGGAACAGCTTCCCATTGCAATTGCGGTTTCGTACGAAGTAACTGTTGAAGTGCTTTTTGTCGACTGTCCGGTAAAGCATCCCAACCAAGACGAAGTCGAATTTCCCATATTTTTCGCATTTGATTGATGGAGGAGGACCGTTGAATATTATTATATTTGTCTATTGGATCAATATTATATTCAAATTTATTTGTTCCATCAAATAATTGACATAGTGGAACGGATTGAGAATCTTTTTGCGGAATACCATTTTTTAAAAAGCTAGCTCGATGATTGTTCTGCTCCGTCCAACAATCAACAACACGAAATGGTACTGAAAAAGTTGAAATGAAATTTTGAAGCGAAATTTTGAACTGACAAGAAATATTCATGAAAAGAAATTTATTTGAAAAGTGTAATCTCTTAAGTAAACTTTCTTTTATATTGTTATGTTAAAATTATCAAAGGCCATTCCAAATTTTTTCAACTGATTTTTCAGTGCAAAAAGATTGAATCATTCTTTTGGACAAAACACATTTCCTTTATTGTAAATAATTATTTAAGAATGATTTATTTGAAATTAAAAAATTTACTATATTTCGATGAAATCATTAGACTAAAATCAAAACCAATTTGTATTGATGAATTTATCTTCACTACTTCTCCATTCAAATTACCAACTGTGATAATATCCTAAAATAGAAATTGAAATAATAAAATTACGAAAAAAGAATTGTGGATAAAGAAATGACAGGGATAAATTATCAAAAATAATCAATCAATTAATATTATAATATTAATGATAATTTTAAAGTAATATTAATCAATCAATTAATATCATAATATTATTGATAATTTTAAAGTAATATTAAATAATATTAATGATAATTTTATTATAATATTAATGATAATTTTATTAATATGTAATGGATTACATTGTTCGCCATTCAGATTACCAACTGCAATAATATCCTAAAATAGAAATTGAAATATTGAAATTACGAAAAAAGAATTATGGATGACAGGGATAAATTATCAAAAATAATCAATCAATTAATATTATAATATTAATGATAACTTTATTAATAAGTAATGGGTTAAATTATTCTCCATTAAGATTAGCAATTGTGATATTATCCCAAAATAGAAATTGAGATATCGAAATTACGGAAAAAGAATTATGATTAAATAAATTTAAAAAAAAGAAATGATAAAGATATCAAAATAAACAATCAATATTTATAATATTAATAATAATTTTGAGCTTAATATTATGTAATGGATTAAATTAGCGAAAAGAAATGAATCGAGGAATGAAAATTAAAACAAGAAATAAAATTTAAGTAATAAACATACATTTGTCCATATTTGATCACATGAAAGTTCGAATTTATGAATTATTTTATTGTCAGCTGTCAATAAAATCTGCAAATTAAATCATTCATTAATCATTTATAAATCGAAATATACCTTTAAACTTTTTCGATATTGCTCATTATATTCAATTCTATAATGAATAATTGCCTATATCGAAATCGCAGAATTGTTCATATATGATGGATCACCCGAAGGATACTATAAATATTTGCTAAATGAAACTTTAAAATTTATATTCCAGAAAATAATAACTTTTTGAGTCGTATCATTTGATAAGCAAATTTCTGGTATTAGCACATTGATCGATTCTGATTGTGAATTTCCATGAATTTCCATTTCACATATTTTACTACCATTTAAATCAATCGATACGAGTTGTATCGGTTCCTTGAAGAAATTAAAATTCCATTTATTGTTTTAAATATTATTAGTGAAGTCCGCCGCCAATTTTCTCTTCCGTTTTCGCTCTCCCATCTTTTCATTAAAATTTATTATTCTTATTTAAGTCAATTCTTTAATAAACATAATATATATGACATACATATGTTTCTATTTGTTGTTGTAAATCATTCAATTCTAATGTAATATTCAAACCATTTTGCAAACATTCAACAGTGATATATTGATCCAATGAGAATACATCACTATTGATTGAAGTTAAATTTCCAGAACATCCTGATCCTGAAATTTCGAAATTATTAACAAATTCTAATAATGCCAATATGACTGGAAGTAATAGAGTAGTATAACAGGTTTGAAATTTCGAAATTATAGTAGTAATATAGTAGTATAACAGGAAGAAACCTTCAAAAATTGTTTAATACTTAAAAATCTGATACTCAAAAAACTGATATTGAAATTCCGACATAATCCGACAATACTCAAAAATTTGACGTATCTATTGAAATTTCGATATATTCCGACATGTCGATTGTTATACCGATATATTCCGATATATCTATTGAAATTTTATCACCATTTATCTCTCTCAATAATAATTACAAAAAATTATCCTACGAATCGTTCTGATCTTCAAACTATAAATTCCTTATAATGCAATAATTATAATTTCAAAAAAAAAAAAAAAGACAAAGAAATTTCATACCTTTCAAAATTGAAAATATAAATAAAACAATACCAAAAATACATTTCATTTCATAAATTATTAATTTTCCCAATTAAAATTAATCCATTATTATATAATATTTAAATCGATAAAAACTCCGCCTTCTAACTAATTTTTAATCGAATGATAAATTTCAACAAAAAAATTCTTTTTTTCTTTTTGATTAACACCACTAAAATTGCAACATATGTGTATGTGTGTGTGTGTGTGTGCGTGTGATAAAGAATGGATGAAGAATTTAGCACGCAAAGAATTTTGTTATTTTCATTGAAAATTATTAGTCATTTAAAAATTACACGTATGCGATAAGTATTTTAGGCTATTATTATTTTTGATTCATTTAATCAAAATTTGAAAAATTTTTATAGGAAAAAAAAGCAAAAGAAATTATTGCTGTCTTTTTTGAAAAACAATTTACACACATATTTAAAATAAGAAATGAATGAATAATTTATTATTATTATTATTTTTATTTCAAATTATTTTCATCTGAAAATATCAAATTAGTAAGCGATTATTAATAAATAGTGAAATCAATTGCCATTTGAATTGAAAATAGTGGGTGGAGGACAAATTGCGATGATATTATGTGTTCAATTTCCATTTTGGCGTTTTTGTCCTTCTAACAATGAAAATTAATCAGTATGTATCATACCATTTTCAAAATTATCATTTTTTATATTATTGTAATATTAAAAAAGAAAAGAATTTAGTTTATTGATTGATTATCCCTACAAAAAAAAAAACCCAGTTAATTCCCGCAATATCTCAGACATTTCAATAATATTGCAAAAAAATTTTTCAATTCTAGGAAAATTTATAAAAAAAGAAATACAAATATTATGATGATAAAAAAAAATGGAAACGAAATGCACTCTCATCATTGGTAGTTTGATATCAGATAGGAGTTAAATGACCTAATGACCTAAATTTTCGTGATTATTTTTCCATCCTCTTTGAATAATATCGAAAGAGCTATCGAATTTTCCATCATCACTTTCTTTTATCTCTTATCATCAACTATCTTTGTAATTATCATTAAAATTTAATTATTATTATTAATATGTTAACAATGATGAAATTCAAATTAGATTAAATTGTTCAAAAAATTTAAAATTTGATTGATAATTTAAAACTTGATTAATATCATTTAAAAAATTACGTTCATATTCACACTCATCATTTCTAAGATATTTTTGATTGATTAATTTAAAACTTGATTAATAATAATATTAAAAAATTGGTTTCACATCCATTCTTTAATTTTAGGAACATTATTAATATGAATGAATTATGCTTGCTATCTTCATATCTCATTTGTTGAACAAATTTCAATTTATAAAATTTGAGTGAATAATAATTTAGGACAACCATATGTATCATACGAATATGCATGTAACATATTTTTTTTTGATACTAATCGATTTTGAAAATTTTTCGACGAAATCTTTTTTCTCTTTTTTTTTCATCATTAAATTGAAGATATAGAAATCACAAATAAATTTATCATATTGAAAGATAAGAAAGAAAAACAAAAAGATTTAAATTAATTTCATATTTTCAAATATATTAAATATAAAAGAAAGAAAAAGCATTTTCCTTTTTTCCAAAATAAATTTCATTTTAACTTTTATTTTCATTAAATACTTATTTTAATTTATGATAATTTTTTACTCAAGTAATTATAATAATATTCGGAAGATTTTTTGTTCCTTTTTAAATTCCAATATTTTTGTTTAATTTTATATCGATTATCAGTTCTTTTTAAATTCCAATATTTTATTTTAATTTTATATCGATTATCAGTTCTTTTATGATTTATGAATATTTTACCTTTATGATTTATAAATAATTTACCTGAATACTTCGAAATAACTTTCTTCCAAATCAAAATTTAATCTAAATTTCACTTCCAGGCAAAAAACAAAGGATTTTTAAAAGTTTTGAAATGAGAAAAATAAGAGGACATTATTATCATTCCTGCCAGTAAAAGTCTTCACAGCTTAAATGAACCATTTAAATAATTTCAATTTATTAGTTGCAATATTAATGAACATTTCTAATTACAAGAGATAATTTTATATTTTAAGAATTAATAAGAATTCTTTTATTCCTATGGCTAAGCGCAATTAGATCAAATAATTTTAATCCAATTAAATTTAGCTTCAATTTGAAATTAAACAAACGAAATCAAGCTATTGTAAGCTAATTTACAGATGTGTATATTTGTTTCTAACATGTATGCTTCAAAAAAATAAAGAATTGCTAATATTTTTTTAAATGTTTTAATATATTAAAGGAGAGAGAGAGAGAGAGAGTTAAAGAAATTTGAGGAATGTTAAGATTAATGATTGTAATATTGATAATGATCTATTATGAATTGAAATTAATTACGCTTCTATTTTGTAGACGAATGACTTCATCGATACTATTTATGCTATCATATTTGTTTGCATTTATATTAGCAACAAAAATTCCGGAAGAATCAATTAATAAAATTCATATCCCAGAAACGAATTGTAAATTCTCTGTACATAACGGTGGACCGAACGGTGAGGAAATCTCCGGTTAGTTTCATTTCAAATTTCTTCTTTCAAAAAGAATTTTAAATTCTCAAATTTAAACTTTTCAAAATTGGAAACCTTTTTCTCGAACATAAATTTTTCAAAATTTAAATTCTCAAATTTAAACATTTCAAAATGGAAACTTTTTGATTATTCTACTGAAGATTTAAATAATCCAAGTAATCCAAACTTCTATAATAACCGAAATAACTTCCTATTGCAGCAATGCTAATTATTATAATATTTATTAATTAAAAATGTTCAATTTTATAAGGTTAAATTAAATTTGTGTGCAAATTATTTTATTGCATTACTTTAAATTCAAAAAATTTATGCGCAAAAATTTCATCATTATTTTTAGTACAAAATTATAAAATTCAATCATTCATTCCAGGAAATTTTATTCGAATTATCATAATTAAAAGAAAATTCAACGTTTTACTTTTTAGGTACAAATTTAAACTCAGAACTTTACTATAAAATAAAATGTGACAAAAGAAAGGGTTACTGTTTGCACGTTGCAAATTGTACAGTGAAAAGTGATAGGGAAAGTATGGAACCGTATCGTATCATCAATGAAAATGGTTGTACCTTAGAACCAAGCTTATTCGAACATGTACAAGTAAGCTATGCAAATTTTAGCATTTGATTCCTCTAGTAGATGAACAATACGATAAAATTAACTGTCAAATTTTTGTAATATGATAATTGACCTGGAATGCTCTAATAGATGAACAATAAATTGAAAGTAAAAACCTGATAAAAATTAACTGTCAAGTTTTTGTGATATGATAATTGACTGAAAGAGAGTAAATTCATTAATTATAAATATGAAAATTAATCAGCCTAAAGATCATTGATAATGATTGATTATGAACTAAATTGCTATCTTAATATTAGTTATAAACTAATCGTTATTTTAGCTCCAAAAATTCTCTAAATTTCAATTATATAAAAAATTTTTATTTTTCAATATAAATCATAAACTGCAACAAAATTTATTTCTATTCATTGATACATTGAATTTTACATCAGTAAAATACGTAAATGATTTAATTTATTTTCTTTTTTTAAGTCGAAAAAAATTATCTCTCAAATTTCATTAAATCTGTCAAATTTTCTTAAATTAGCCGAGAAAACAAAGAAAGATATTTAGTAATTGAGTAAATAAATAATTAAAGAATTATTTTTTAGTATGAAGATGATTTTACTGCTGGAATTTACAATCCACTTCCAATTCGATTTCGTGGTGCCAGCTCATCGGTGCAATTTTTCTGCACCACAACATTGATACCAACAAGAACTGATGGTGAATGCTCACGCAAAATGTGTACCTGGAATGAATATGGTGGAAATCATAATTTTGAGAAAAAAAATTAATTACTAACTTTCATCGAAATTGTTAAAAAAGATGAAATTATTTAGTAATTGAGTAAAAAATTATATTTAGTAATTGAATAAAAAATTATATTTGGTAATTGAGTAAAAAATTATATTTAGTAATTGAGTAAAAAATTATATTTAGTAATTGAGTAAAAAATTATATTTAGTAATTGAATAAAAAATTATATTTGGTAATTGAGTAAAAAATTATATTTGGTAATTGAGTAAAAAATTATATTTAGCAATTGCGTAAAAAATTATATTTAGTAATTTAGTAAATAATAATTAAAGAATTATTAAATAATAATCAATTTGTAAATGACAGTTTTGATTTTTTGCTATTTATTTTTATAAATAAATTTTAAAGAGAAATTTGATTATTATTATTTATCACATATAAATGTTTTTCTCTCATACATTTATTATTACATATTTAATAGTTATAAATATTGCAGCCATTTAATAGCCATAAATATTATGGACCAATTAATAGCCATAAATATTGCGGACCATTTAATAGCCACAAATATTGCAGCCATTTAATAGCCTACAAATATTATAGTCACGAAGAAAAAAAAAAGAGCCAGAAAATAATGCTACAAACTTTGAAAATACTTATCTCAAATGTATATTTTAATTTTGCCATGTACTGCTTGTTTTATAAAATTTCTACTTGTGCTTCTTTACAGCTTTAAAGAAAACAAAAACAAAAAATGCAAATTAAAATTTCAAAAAACAAACAAAAACAAAAATGCAAATTAAAATTTCAAAAAGAAACATTTAGCTATTTTCAATTTTCGAAACCATAATGTAATTCAAATAGTTTGGTTTAATTTTTTTACAACAAAATAATAAATTTAAATTTTTTCCTTCACCCACGCATTTTGATAATAAAATCTTTCATATTACAGTGCTAAATTATTGCATATTTGATTTTAATTTATTCAAATAAATATAAACAAGTCGTTTTGGTTTTTGATAAAGACTTTATATGTTTCTTTTTTTGATGATAATATTATCATTTCATGTAGATAATATAATTGATAACATAATCAATTAGAACATTTGTTATACTAATAATGCAAGTGATAATTATGTGAAAAATTATAAACTGACAACGTAAGTGATAATTATGAAAAAATTATAAACTGATAACGTAAGTGGTAGTTATGTAAAAAGTTATGGACTAATATCGCAAATGATAATATGCAAGTTTATTTGGAATAAATTGATAATAATTAAAAAGTTATAAAACATCATTTTCCATTTCAAACAGTTAGAATATTAATGATGTTTAATTAATTATTAAAATTTTCTCATATTTTTATCAAAGTTTTAAAAATTAACTAATCAAAATGGAATTCGATTAAAAGTATTTAAAATAAAATTTCAAATCATTATGTTAATTAAGGTCATTGTTTATTTACGTTTTTATAATTCAATATATTATTCTAAAACCAAAAATCAATCAATCTTTGATTAGGCTTAGATTAACAATTATAATGATAATGAAACTTGTCTGATCTAATATATTATCAGTTCGTAGTGGAAACAAAGAGAAAATTCAAATCTTTCTGTTTACGAAAATTAACTTTATTTTAACTTTAAATTAAAATTAACTTTAAATTAATTTTATAAAAATTAACTTTATTTGCAAAAATTAATTTATTTAAAAATTTCAAAAATTGAAATTAATATAAATAAAAATTTCCTTATCAATCTTTATCAGTTGATAATCAAAAAAATCTCTTCTGATCGTTAATTCCAATATTCAGGCAATATTCTATTCAACAAGAATATCCGCAATTTTCATCCTTCAGATGTCAGAGTGTTGAAAAAGAATGAAAGTGAAAAAAATTGAAATATGAAAATGAACAATGGAAAAAATAAGAGAAAGAAAAAGATAACAAAAAAGAAAAAGATGAAATGAGTAATTATGAAAATGATGAATTGGCGCAAATGTCTTACTAATATTTTTGTTCAAATGTTTTTTAAGCAAAATTGAATCTCATCATCTAACCTAAAATTGTACTATTCACTCATACCAATTTTACTTCCACCTATAGATCATTTGATATTTACTTATTTCCACTTATAGTTCATTTATTACTTCCATCTGTGGTTCATTTAATATTTTCATCCACCTATAGTTCATTTAATGTTTTCTTACTTCCACCTATAGATCATTTAATATTTTCTTACTTCCACCTATAGATCATTTAATGTTTTCTTACTTCCACCTATAGATCACTTAATGTTTTCTTATTTCCACCTGTAGTTCATTTAATGTTTTCTTACTTCCACCTATAGATCACTTAATGTTTTCTTATTTCCACCTGTAGTTCATTTAATGTTTTCTTACTTCCACCTATAGATCACTTAATGTTTTCTTATTTCCACCTGTAGTTCATTTAATGTTTTCTTACTTCCACCTATAGACCACTTAATGTTTTCTTATTTCCACCTGTAGTTCATTTAATGTTTTCTTACTTCCACCTATAGATCACTTAATGTTTTGTTAAAATTATCTTTCATTTTCTTTTTTAAGTGGAAGATATATGAGTGTCTGATTTTAAAATTCATCATACGATGATACAACACGTCAGATTTTTAATTTCAACTACAACTAAGACTGAATCATTAAAATTATTTTCTATCCAAAAAATCAAATTTTATTCTTTTGAAAGGAATATCTTCATTTCTTAAGATATTTCAAAAAGAAATTAAAATTCATAAAATCTCTCAATTCATCGAAATAGTATTTTCCTAATTTTCAATCGCTTAGTCTTTTTTGCCTGAATAATTTTCCGTCTCATCTAATTCCAAAATTTTGTTTTCTTCAAAAATAAATTTTGTATTATTTTTGAAATTCGATATCACCGAAGAAAATCTATGATAGGAAAAACTAAGAGAAAGAAGCTTTTTGTTGAACGGTGAAAATTGTGCTTCTTCTCTACAATGACAAATATTTTCTCATTAACGTAAATAAAACAATACAATGATTGTTTCGCTTTTCAAATAGTTTTCAAACTAAGAGATGAAAGGTGGAAAAATTTAAGAGATGAAAGAATGAGTAATTAAAATAATTTAATAATTAATTAAAATTGAAATTTTTATAATTTCAATTTTTGAAAAATTTGATGGTGCAAAAAAGTAATTCTTTTCTTTTTTACCTATTATTAACTTTTATCACAGGTAATTTTTGTGCAGAAGTTTTATTTATCATATGCTAATATATATTTCGCTTTAATTTTTGATGTTAATTGAAATTATTTATTTTGCTTCTAACCTTTGATTTTAATTAAAATTATTTACTTTGTTTCTAAATTTTAATTTTAATTAAAATCATTTATTTTGCTTTTAATTTTTGATTTTAACTGAAACTATTCCTATTTAAATTTTATTTTATATCGATTAAATTAATATTAATTACAATAATTTTGAAACAATATAAGAAGATAATATTTGAAAGAATAGTGTCAAGAATTTCGAATAATCTTTTTTTTCGAATAAAGAAGCTCGATTAACGTCACCAATAATCGAATAATTATTTTATTTTAAATATTATTTTATGTGTTCAATTATAATTGGCATATATTTATTTCTTCAATGAATGAAATTACAGATGAAATAACTAAATGAATTATTCTAATTGAAATTATTAAAATCATTATTAGTATTGTGTACAGCCATCATCCTTTAATTCACTAATAATCATATAATAATCGTGATAATAATTAATGATAAAGCAAGAATGATGATAATGCAATGATGAAACATCATTATCTTGTTGAACTATCATAATGCGGATATTTGTGATAATAATGAATGATGATAATGTGATAGTGGAACTACAGTTATCATCGTTTAATTCACTAATAATCATATTGTAATCGTGATAATAAATAATGATAAAACAAGAATGATGATAATGCAATGATGAAACATCATTATCTTGTTGAACTATCATAATGCGGATATTTGTGATAATAATGAATGATGATAATGTGATAGTGGAACTACAGTTATCATCGTTTAATTCACTAATAATCATAATGTAATCGTGATAATAAATAATGATAAAGCAAGGATGATGATGATGCAATGATAAAACATCATTATCTTGTTGAACTATCATAATGCGGATATTTGTGATAATAATGAATGATGATAATGTGATAATGAAACAGGATAATTGACCGTACCATGTACATCCTATAATTGTTACTTCTTGTAAATGGAAAAATCGTATGATTTGCTAATGAATGAAGCGTGATTCAATTCAAATTTTATTCTTTGAAGTATTCGACACGACTACTTTAGTACATGTAAATATTTATTTTAAATCTATTGGAATTATTTTTTAAGCTTTCGAAAAAAGGAATTAATGATAATACTATATGAAATTACTCAAAATGATCAATCTGAATTTATTTGAAATTGCATATCATTTAAAATTATATTTGTAATTAGCAAAAAAAAAATTGTTTACTAATCAAATTATTAATCAATTACTGATTATTAATCAATGAAAATTTAATATTAATCATAGTAGATCCAATTTAAACGAATGCTTTTAATAAATAAGCTTATATTATTATTATTAATTATAACATTTTTAATTTCAGACTAAATTGAAACCTGAAATCTTCGAAATATCTCGATGAGTCATCTTTATTTAAAGATTAGTAATAATGTAGAAGTATGATTGTAACTTATTTATTTTCGTTTTTCTATTATCATCATTTTTCTGTTATCTTTCATTTTTGTAATTTTTAATTTCAGACTAGATTAAAACCTGAAATCTTCGAAATACCTCGATGAATCATCTACATCTAAAGATTAGCAATAATGTAGAAGTACGATATAACTTATTTATTTTCCTTTTTATATTATCTTCATTTTCCCGTTATCTTTCGTTTTTGTTATTTTTAATTTCAGACTAGATTGAAACCTGAAATCTCTGAATCATCTATATCTAAAGATTAATAATAGTGTAGAAATATGGTATAACTTTATTTTCGTTTTTCAATTATCTTCCATTTTTCTTCCACTAAAAATAACCTATCATTTGAATTAATTTTTTCTCAGCTAAATCAAATGATTACTTTGAAGTGTAGAATGGATTTATTTAGCTGAACAAATCAATCATCTGGGATAAGAAAAGATAGTAATAGTTATCACTCAATATAATCTTTTCTCTCTATCATTATGATTCACTAATTATCATCGATCTTTTTTCACTGATTACAATTTCATCCATCTTCTCATTTAACAAAATGGACGAAAAAAAAGTTCTTTAAATTAAACACTCCAATTTGTTCAAATGTTTTATTAAGATCCGTTTGCTTAGATACTACTTCCGGATGATCCGGATGATTTATTCCATAAATACCTGTGAAGCAATAAATTATCTCTCCTAATATTAGAGAGAGAGCTTTTTTAGCCAATTCTTTTTTCTGCATAAATTTTCAACTTTTAATTGATCACTTTGGTCATAATTTTTAATTGATCAGAATTGATTATTAATGTTGATCAAAATCAAATTGTTAATTTTTACCGGAAAGAAATATTATTGATTTGTATGTAGCATTGATATATTATTACATTTTCAAAATCAAATTTTTTTAATGGAACCCCGTATCAATCAAAAATTGAATGATCAAACAATTCCAGGAATTTGCTGAAAACCTGAATTTATTTTCCGTCAATTTATTTGCACCGATTTTTACAATCGTTTTATGTAAGGAAGCTTTCTATAACAAATATATGAAATTAACATACTAATAATTTAAAGCTGTTTTTTTAATTGAATTATAAGCGATGTTTTCTTAATAAATAGCATAATTAAATTAATCAATAGCAAACTTTATATATCGTAACCTTAAAAAAGATAAAATTGTTAAATGTTATAGTGAAACACCGTAACATTCATGTTACGGTATTTTACTGTAACATTCAACACTTTTATTGCTTAGAATTGTTGTTTGTTGAAATTTTATACTAATAATTTCCAAAATATGCCATCATTAATCGGTTCATTTTATTGGTGATAATTTTCAATTTAGTTTATAACTTACAATCCATTCTATCTTAGCTAATATTAAGAGAACTGCTTACAGGTATTGTTTACATTCACTATTTACAATTATTGTTTATTGAATTAAATTTTATACTAATAATTTCCAAAAATGTGCTACCAAAAATGATAATTGTTCGATCCATTTCATTGATGATACCACTAATCGATCCATTTCATTGGTGATACTATTAATCGACCCATTTTGATAAATTGGTGATAAATTGATTTTTGCCACATTCTATTCTATCTTAGCCAAAAATTAATGAGAATATTAGAGAATTATTTTAGCAAAATTTTACGCCATACTTCTAGGAATTTGAATAGTTTTCTTCGGAATTTTCTTAACAAATAAAATAAACCGAAGAGATATCTTTAAAACGTAGAAGCTGCTGTCATCATTGAAAAATTCAATTGCGCCTTACAATAAAGAAACACTTCCCACATAGCAGCTGTCACATTTCCGATCTACTCCGTTTATCCTTTTTCTTCCCCTCTCTCTCCCTCTCTCTCTCTCTCTCTCTCTCTTAAAAAAAACGGAAAGAAAATGAAATAGAAAAAATTTTTTTTATTTTAACAATTTTAACGATGATACATGATGAATCATTGTAACCCCAAAAAAAACATTGATCATTGTTTCACATTAATATTTATATATTTTGTTTACTACTTTTGAAGTTCATAATTGCTAAGTTTTAATTTAACTTAAAAGCCTAAGTAAATAATTTAGTTAATTATTTTATACCAATAGTTATCAAAATATGCTATCATTAAATCGATCCATTTTATCAGTGATAATTTTCAATTTAGTTTATAACTTAACAATTTTATGAAAACTTTATTAAATCATTCAAATTTGCATTTAAATTAAACAAATAGTTTATTAGCATTTTTTGCAAATGTAATTTTAATTTCAGGTGCTTACACTAAAATGGGTCATCGAATTGTATGGTCAAAAAGTGGTAGGCCAAAGTAATTTTTTTTCTTATTTCTTAGTTTAATTATAAAATTTGCAAAATAAAGGAAAACAATTGCAAAGGATTAATGTTAAATCAATCAGTTTGCTTAAAGCAAAAATGATAATAATTCATTATTTTAATAATAATTGGTTTGGATAAAAATAATGACAAAAATAATATTAATAATGATAACAATAATGATAATGATGATAATAATAATAATAATAATAATAATAATAATAATAATAATAATAATAATAAAAGACAATAAAATAATGATTCAAAGAATTATTTTAATCAATCTATTATTATTATTATTATGATCATTTTTACTCTCAACTTGACCATGATCGTGATTGTGAATGATCATTTTTACGCTTTAAAAGAAAAATAATAATAAAATAATAATTTAAATACTAAATAACTTTTCGCTGTTTTAAAAATTTCATTATAGCGCAAACATACATCAAACTATAAATTTCTTATTAAATTAATTAATTATTTCTATTTATTAAATTATATTATTGAATTATATTATAAAATTATATTATTGAATTATCCATTATTAAATTATATTATCATTTCTATTTAGCTTATAAAGAAGAATTGATATTTAAATGATTAAAAAAATTTGAGGATAGTTTTTTTGTTTCAGTGATACGCTAGAATGGGCACCACCATTACGAGTTGTAGCTATTGTGACACTTTTGGCTTCAACATTGGATCTAATCGCTGATTTTCTGCTTTGCAGCAAGTTTGTCTAATTCATTAATAGCCTTAAATTGCATTTTAATTGAAATAGAAAAGGAATAAAGAAAGAATGGACAAAGTGATAAGTGACCATTTTTAATTACACATTAATTGGTCAATAAGGTCAAAAAAAAGAATGAAATAAAAGTAGTACATATATATACATAATTCTGTTAAAAAATATCATCACATCCACTTCTTCAATCATTTTTTTTTAAAACAAAGTAAATGATAATAAATCAAAAATTGAGATTTGTAAAAAATGACCTCTCATTTTATTTATCAATTCTTATCCTTGACATGATCATGATTGTCAATGATCATTTTAACTCTCAATATGATCGTGGTCGTGATTGTAAATGATTATTTTTATCCATAATGTGGTCGTGACTGTAAATGATCATTTTTACTCCTAATGTGGTCGCGATCGTAATTGATTGTTTTTACTCTCAACGTGATCGTGATCGTGATTGTAAATGATCATTTTTTACTCCTATCGTGATCGTGATTGTAAATGAACATTTTTACTCCTAATGTGATCGTGATCGTAAATAATCATTTTTTCTCTCAACGTGATCATGATCGTGATTTTTGCAATCATCACTTTTTGACTCCTAACGCAATCGTGATCATGATCGTAAATGATCATTTTTTTAACTCCCAACGTGATCGTGATCGCCATTGTAAACGATCATTTTTTACTTCTAACGTGATCATAAATGATCATGCAAAAATTATAAAAGTTATTCAAGTGTTTAATAATAAAAATATCATAAGTTTCATATATCTATAAATTTAATGAAAATTACTTTTTTACAGGATAATGGAATTGTTACCGAATTTTCGTAGTAATATAGGTTTTCTGGCTGCTTACGGTTATTTCTTTTTCACTGGTATTTCTGTTATCGTTTATGTTTTTGAGATGACCGATGTTTGTTTAACATTAAAGAATGATTGCGAAAATACTAGCATTGCTCGATTAGCTAAATCATTGGTACTTGTTGCTGAAGAAGTAAGCATTTAGCATAATTTATATTATTTGTATACTTTTCTTATTTATTAATTTGTTCTAAAAATCTTTTGAAATCTTTTTTTCTTAGTTTGTTCTAAAAATAAATTTAAATTTAATGAAAATAAATTATTGTTTCGAAACGAAGAAAAAGAAAAGCTGATACTAAGCAATGATTTTACATGTAAAATAATTGTTAGAAGATATATTATGCTGTTATTGAACTATTTCAAATTTTCCGTTATCATTAAATTATCACTTAACATTGATTATTCATTTTTTAAAAATAAAACAACAATGATAATTTTAGATTCCATATTTGTAAGTTTTATTGTTTTTATTTTTTAGAAATTTTTTAAATTATACAAAATAAATTTTTTATCTACAAATTTTTATCGTTTAAAATAATTTACCGAAATAATTTTCTAAAATAAACATATCGGATAAAAAGAATTATATTGAAAATAGATTACGAATAATGATTTTTAATAATGATTTTTATTTTGACCTCAACTTATTAGCAATAATTTCCGCTTCTAAAGATTTGAAATCGGAAAATGAAAGTATCATGGATGAAAATAAAAAGGAAGTGAAAGTATCGTGGAATAAATATTGAATTAATTTATTTAAATTTATTTTAAAAATATTTATATATATATATATAAATGGATGCATACCGTAATCCAGCATTTCTAGGTACCTGATGATTTTTATTTTGACCCCAACTTATTAGCAATAATTTCCGCTTCTAAAGATTTAAAATCAAAAGGAAGTGACAGTATCAACGAAAACAAATATTGAACTAATTTATATAAATTTATTTTAAATGCTTACCGTAATCCATCATTTTTTAGGTACCATTACCAATTCTATTAAATATATTATTCAAATATGAGCCACATATGTCAATAGCAAAATCAGCCTATCTTGTATCATGGATTAAATTGATAGCATTAACATGGGGTATTGTTAAGTTTACTAAATTGAACTTTTTTTGGTGCTGTTTACCTCTTAATCCAAAACATGATACCAGGTAAGCTATTTCATTTATTATTCTTTTCTCAACTTATTTACTATACAATTACATCATTAATAGAAAATGAATATTAAAGAAAATATAATTCCAAAATATTAATATTTACAATTAATTATTAGCTATTCATTTTATCTTAGTAAACTTTATATTATGAATAAACTAACAATTATATGAATATTAAAGAAAATATAATTCCAATATATTAATATTTAATATTAATTATTAGCTTTGTAAACTTTACATTATGAATAAACAAACAAATATATGAATATTAAAGAGAATATATTTCCAATATATTATATATTTAATATTAATTATTAGCTATTAATTATTAGCTTTGTAAATTTTACATTATGAATAAACAAACAATTATATGGATATTAAAGAAAATATAATTCCAATATATTAATATTTAATATTAATTATTAGCTGTTAATTATTAGCTTTGTAAACTTTACATTATGAATAAACAAACAATTATATGAATATTAAAGAAAATATATTTCCAATATATTAATATTTAATATTAATTATTAGCTATTAATTATTAGCTTTGTAAACTTTACAATAAATAAACAAATGAATAAACAATAAACAAATATCAAAATATATTTAATTTTATTAAAATTTAATTTTATTAATTAATTATTTTAATACATTTCCAAATTTTACCTACTTTATTGCAGGGAGAATTTTCGTCGCTGTTTCACATTTACGTTATATCGTATTACAATGATTTTCGTTAATATTTGTCATATAATTGCAATTTCAATTGTTATTTATAATATTGCAATTACTAGTAAAAGTGGCAACCAATCAATTAAAACAATTAATCCTTAAAATGAAAATAATTATATTAATTTTAATGAATTTAATTTTTTGTAAATTATTTATATATTTCCAATTTTACTACTTTATTACTTTACTGGAACAGTTAAAAATTAATTACTCTTTTGTTTTAACTGAAAAAAGTTAAAAGTAAAAAATTTTATTTACTTTTTAGATGAGTAATGTGAAATTCATAATAATTCAAATATGAAATACGAAATATCAAATATGAAATTCCATTTCTAATCAAAGAAAGAAAGAAAGATTAAATATTATATTAATTTTATTGAATTTAATTTTATAACTTTAAGTTGAACTTTTTCAGTTAGCATAAAAGAGACTATCGATCATAACAAATTTTAAATAATTTATTAATAATTAACTTTGAACTAATTAACCTTTGCTCAATAAGGCTTCATTCTGTATTATCAAAAATTGTCAACAACAACAAAAAAGAAATACTAACTTTTTCAGTTAGCATAAAAGAGACTATCGATCATAACAAATTTTAAATAATTTATTAATAATTAACTTTGAACTAATTAACCTTTGCTCAATAAAGCTTCATTCTGTATTATCAAAAATTGTCAACAACAAAAAAAAACAAAACTTTCCACATTATATTTGCATGCTAATGCAATATGTATATTATTATCTTCTCTGTTCTTATTCGTTCAACAAATAAAACCGGATAATTGTCTTGCGTTATTTCAACATTGAAATGAATACAGTTAAAATTGCCAGCTCATCCATTATTCATTCATCCTCAGTATTTCAAAGTCAACAATTTATGTGTCACATCACATTTAACTGTCAACAAAGTCACTAAAACCTTCCAATTGCGCGCTGTTCCTTTCGCTTCACCTCATTCCTGCCTGCCTAATTCATCCATTTCGTATTGCTACTATCTATTGCATATGTACACATACATAAGTACACATACACACACATACATACGCGCACATACAAATACAAATATATATCCATACATATATACACACACATATCATACATATATACACGCATATATATATATATATACTATATGTAGCCGCACATTCACATACACTAACATGTGAACATATCCTAGCATACGCTGACATGCACGCAGACACATACATACACACACATATATCTCAATGGCATTGATTTCTATATAATATGAAATTCTCTCAGTTTACTTCTCATTTGAAGCGTAATATTCTTCCTAGTATCACGCTATAACAGACGTCGCTTCGTATTGACAGATGACGTTCATTTTCATCACGTTTTAACGTGATATGTGACAAATGTTTCTTTGTTAGTTTTTTGAGCGTGAGAATACTGATATTATCATATATATATATCTGATATTATCATATATATATATATATATCAGGGTTACTCGTAACTGTGATAGAATTATAGTGGAAAAGTTAATTTGATCAATATGTTGATAGACATCTGTTGTCCTATGTCCTCTATTGTAACAAGAGGTCAAAGTACAGGTAAAGTTCTCCATCCAAAATATACATTTCATAATGTAACGTTACTAAATTTAAGTATTTAAATCATAGTTGCATATTTGCGCAACATAAACATTATCATTTTATTGGATAAGAAATAGACGAATTTAGTTTGATTTGGTTATCAATTATGTTTTAACTTACTTACTTAGTTACTGTCTACTATTATTGGATACTTATATCAATGATAATTTCATCCTTCAAAATTGATGTAAATGCATAAATTGAAATGAAGTTTATCCTTTTTTCTCTTTCTTTCTCTCTCTCTCTCTCTCTCTCTTACTCTCATTGCATTACTTAATTTATAATTCACCGATATTTTATTGATTTCAGTTAAAAATGAACGAAATATGATGGAACGAAGTAAATTACAACAAGAAGAATTGAAACAAATAAACCACGTAGAAGAAGAAATGTAAGCATTTCTATTTCTATTATTCTTTTCAAACGAACTGTGCTAACAGTTTAGCATGTCATTATTGCATACAACTTTTCGATCAAATGAATGGCGCTCTGATAGGATGCTTCGATCGCATGGATTGCTCAAGGTTTTCTTTTGTCAAAAATTCTTTTTCTTATATGAAATGATTTAACTTGTATTGTGTATAGTTTACATTTAGTGACAGTCATGCTTTGTTTATTCCAAAAAATATTAATTTGTCTGAAAGCTTTCAGCACACAAATTTGAACGATTTGTAATATTATTATTATTTTTTGTTTAATTTCTTCAAAAATTCCAGTGCCTAGCGCAATGTCACGTTGTACTTGGTTTGATAATTTTTATATTGGCTGCATTAGCAGATTATATGAGTTCACGAATTCATACGATTCGAATGGTTGGCCTCGAAGAATGCTGCTCGTTCTACTTCATCTTAACCGGGTATGTTTTTCTTATGTCTTTCAGGAGTAAAAAAATTTTTGTATGATTGCATAATTTAAAGTAATCAAAAATTACGATGTTTCGCGCAACTTAAAAGCATATTTGTATTTTGGAAGAATCCGGAAATAAACATCGGAATAAAGAAAAGGAACACCTGATGATACCTATCGTGCTATTCTTTTTTTGCGAAAAAAGAAATTATTGATCTTATCGCATAATGTTATACTTTTCAGTATTATTGGAATTTGTGGTTCGGCCAGTCATCGTCGTGGTCTAATATTGGCATTTATGGTAATGAATTTGCATGCAATCCTTATTTTCGCACCAGCAATTATAATCGTTTCGAGCTTTGATATACATTTTTATCAGGTTTGTGAATTTATTAAAATTACATCCAATTTCAAATTAAACTATTTAATGATAAGAAAACAAAACTGTTTTTCTAGGCCGAGTGTTTCGGGGAATGTGATTGGCATCTACTAGCAACAAGTTTGCCAGAAAATAGTCGATGTCAAATTCTTTGCGGCGAAAATATTGACGATAACAAAAAAAGGTATTAACAAGAAATTTTCACTTTTTTTCTGAAATCTTCCAAATTGAATTGATGACAGCAGTAGGTGGCAGCACTTATTTGTTCATCAAGCATATTGATGTTCTTTTCTGAACTAAAAATCTTGATTTACAAAAACTACCGACCTATGATTGCATGATGCGAAAACGTTTAACAGTTTGGTTGTTTAATTGTTTTAATTTGTTTGACACGATGAGTAAAACCTTTATTTGTAGTTAAATAAAGTGAGTAAACAATTGAATTTATAGTTTGATGACACGATTGGGAACTGAATATCGTTTGGATGCTGGTATTATTGCAGCAACGATCTTGCAGATGGTACTCTCCCTTTTTTCTGCATCAATTTGCTGTCGGGAAATATGTATGGAGTGTCGGCCAATTATGTGGAATAATGATGTCCGTTTTTAAGATTTTTGAAGATTAAATTTACCTTTTAAAGTGATGCTCTTCAGACTATCACAACATCGATGCTCAAACACTTCCTTATCAGTTCTTTGCAGTTCATGTTAATCCCTAGCACTTATTTTTTTATTCAGATTTTTGATTCGAACTAAATATAAATATTAGGAACTTTATTACTGTCCAGAGTAAACCTTCAAGTAACTCTGAAATTTTCTATTTTAGAATCAGAGGCTGGATATGATGATGATGCCGCTGAACCTGCACGATGATACACCAAACTGAACAAGATCTGATTCCTGTTGTGTTATTGAAAAGTATGTTTCATCATTATATTGCAGTGGTAATTTAGTTGATCTTTGTATCATCCCACGAATCTAGAAAACACAAGATATGCAATGGTCCTTCGATCTAATTATTGTTTCTTTCCTGCCGTCTCATGTTATTTTTTCTTACTGTCTCACACATTTGGAAAACAGACAAGAAGTCGTGAAAAATGCAGCTCAAAAATTTTAGAGATTTAGATGATAGAAAAAGATAAATGGAGTTGATTTTTATCTGCTTTAGTAAATGAATATATATACTTGCAATCTGATTGAAGAAAAAGAGTTCACATCAACAATATTGTCTAGCAATCGAGAAATTTTTTTGCGTGGATCAAAATGCATACACTTATATATTTCCAGTGCATTAAATATCAAATTATATTAAGTTGGAAGTTATAAAGTACATTCCTGAGTTCCAAAGTTGTGGATTTGCGTTACACTAAGATACCATTGGAAAAACAAGAATTTGAAGAAGACCTTTGATGCTTCGATGTTGATGTTGAAGCTTTCTTGTTGAGTTTCTTTATATCTTATATCAATAAATTTTTAAGGATTTTTCGAACTTAAAGTTTCCGATATATTTTGAAGCGAAAGAATCCTTAAAGTAAAGATAATTTACTAGCTATATAATTTCTTATACAAAAATAACTTATTGACTTTTCAAGATATGAAATATAAAATAGTTATTTTTCCTGATAATGAAATTTATCATATAATCATACAAAACACTCCATTAAATGGTAAACAAAAGTACAATGTGCAAACAATACGGCAAGGCTTCACAGGATGGTTCTCTCCCAACTTTGGAATATAAAAATAAAGTGATATTCTTCTAATGCTTATCATTTTTGTAACAGATCAGGTCTTGATCAATGTAAGGAAAACTATGGAAAGCAGGCTTAATTGCTGTGTATAAACTATGCTTTGCGATTTTTTTTATCGGTCTTTCTCCATTGAAAAATATTCATTAAAAGGTAAGCTGAAACGTGGACGGGACAGCGCAAGATTTCTATTTTGAGATACAAAGGTATTGGAGAGGGAAAACTCCCAAAATATACTAAATAACTTTTATAATTAAATCTTGGTAGATAACAGAATGCAAACATTCTACGATTTCAGAGACATGATCAGACCAGTTGATGGATTGAATAAAAAAGATTGCACGACATCTCACTTAAGCTGATAATAATTTGCGGCCACGCTTGGCGTTCAACTAAGCACTTAAATAGTTTCAGTACCTGGTTCCTCTTTGTCTCGAGTTTTGGACAGTACAAAATGCATATTAATTACAAATGGAAGAGAATATGATTGGAAATAATGCTTCGGAAACGCCCAGCGAGAACCGACGAGTTACATTATGATACATATCACAGCAAGTATAAAATTTTGCAATTAAAAACTTTGCATGACTGACAGGAACATCCTGTCGTATAGGCAAAATCAGAGATATATATAAGGCTGAAATTGCTACACAATGTTGATGAGCAAATGAAATTTTAACTCAGTTAACTTAAATTTCACAAATTTCATAGAGATTTCAACATAAACAAGCATAAAGAGCGCATTGCAGCAAAATTCTGCAGCTTCGAACAGAGTTCATAATTTAAACGTTAGAATCAAATTGGCAAAGAAAATAACAAATGTGGACAAAAATATTTCATGGAAAAAGAATTCCAAAATTATTAAAGAGGCTCAGATCATTCGATAAAGGAACGCTTGATGGACAAGTTTTTCTTTCAGACTACTTAAAAAACTATTTGAGAGAACATTTTCCAACAAACAACAAAATAAAAAAAGGTAAAAATGAGCGCATAAAGAGACGTTCTAATTTAACGGAGCGCTCTTTTCTTTTTCAACCAATAAGAAAATGAAAATAAAGTACTAAGACAAGCCAGACCAAATATAATTTCTCCAAGTCGATGTTGTCGTTTTATTTACTGCAACATCCGCTAAAATTACCGAAATTTAATTTGTAAAGTTTTGCAATTTTGAAAATAATAGGAATTTGAAGCTAAAAATGTACTGGACCTCTAATATTTATTTTTAACATGAAAAAAAAGCATCTTAGAAAATTCCTCAGATATTGCAATTTTTATTTGCATTTACTGTAAAAACCTGAAGATAAAATAAAATATAACTTTTCAAACATTCGATATATATTCTCCATTTCATCCGAGTTTTCAATTTTCTTCGATAATAAATATATAAAACATTCATATAACTGTCGAAAAATTTCATAAAAACTCCAATTTTAACTTTCAGTGATTAAGGAAAGACAAAAAATATACCTTCAGCCACCTGACTGAGCAAATTCACTTCATCGTTGGTCAATTTCAACATTGTTGTTAAAACAGGGATCAAATGACCACGTTCGTCGGTAACTTTTTCTGGTGCAATGAACTAGCAAAAATTATAATTCCTTTTCAAAACATCTTGCAAAAAGTGTTAATTTGCCATATAAATATGATAATATCATTATTTCAATGGCAATACGGCTACTAAAGTAATACTTAGATTTAGAGGAATGGATTATATAGAGTTATATTACGGAGTCAGGTTTCGAAAAGCTACCCGATAGACCTAGTATGTCAAATAACCCTTAATACTGCTTCTATGAAGAGCAATAATGAAAGCATTTGCAGCAAAAGCAGGAAATTACATTACATCGAACATCACATGAAATATTTAAATTTTGCATAAGATTTCAGTTGTATAAATTTACACTCAAATTATGATAAGATTTTGCTTACTTTCATGATAACATTTTTCAGATACTCAGTATTGGACAGGTGACTTTCACGCTCCCGATCACGCTCCATTCTGCGAATCTCTTCCTTTAAAAGTTTCATTTGTTCTGCCAATCTTGCATTCGTTGCCTCACTTTCATTGAGAAGTTCTCGCGTATGTTTTAACTAAATCAAATTTCATACGTTACTAATTGCTTTCCTCATAAGCTTCCTCTTCAAAAAAACAATAACAACCGTTCTGCAAAGTGCCATTACTCATTATCGGATTTAAGGTCCCTTAATGCAAATTGTATTGAAACTAAAATAAACTTTAGTTTAAGTAAACTTTAGCATATCAAATCAAACTTTCTTGATCTATCTTTACATAAAAGCCATGAGTGCTCTAAAAAAAAAATACATATTTGGTTAACGGATCAAAATGGTTAGGTAAAGCGAACTTGTCTGCTAATCATTTCAATAACATCCTGAGGAGATGTCAAGCTGTCTGGTTGATTCCGAATATCAGTGACGACCAGTTCTTCAGGCTCTCCATAAATTACTTCTTCCAGTGACTTTTCCTCACATTTTTCCTCATTGTCATCATTTCTTCCATCTTTGCTTGTTGCATCTGCAGTCTCTACTGAAGGTCGGAGCAGATAGGTGCTACAAATTAATAAGAAATTCATTAAAAAATATTATAAAGTACTGTTTTGTCAACGTTTTTTGTGCTAGTAAGCTTTTCGTTTTTCAAATTCAATGAACCCATAGCCATTTATCTCGACGAAACGGTAAATCATTTAAACAACAAAGATAACAAGATTCGCACTACCAATCGCATTTGGATCAGTATTACTTTTCAGACCTGGATGGCAGAATATCTTTGGAAGGTTTTTGTAATTGGATAGCTACATTTTGCGCGGCAACTGCTACATGAATTTTCTCCATCTCTTTTCGTCGCGCCACTTCGTCATCTAACATACATCTTAGATGTTTTATTTCTTCTTCTAAGCCTTCATGTTCTTGTCGTGCAGTTATTAACAAATTCTCTTTTTCCTGGTTATGCGAAATGGAATTTGCATCAATCTGAGCCAATAGTTCACTATTAAACTTTGCTTCAGAAGTAAATCGCAACTCGAATTCTTGCCGTTGTTCTGACAATCTAGAAACACGAGATAATGTTTTTGGATTAGTTCGACGATTTTTCACTTTATCCAGAAAAATAGTGAAGTGTGCTTCTAAAGGATAGCATATTGACCGAAATTTCTTGACATTTTCTGCTAAACACGAATCATTTATAATATCAAAACCAATATTTGGAATAATGAATAATTCCCAAACAACCAATATAAAGGATGAAAGCGAATGAATAACTTACTGTTTTTTGTAGGATTCAATAGTAGTGTTGAGTTGCCGTTGTAAATTCAATATTTCGGTAGAAAGTGTTCTAACATGTCCCGATGAGGAATCAAGTTCGCCTTGTAACATACGATGCGAATTGCTGAATGCACACAAATCACGATTTTGAAATTTCAAATGCTCGCAAAATAAATTCCTTTGTTCTCCAAATTTTGTGATCTCAGTATGATCAGCGTTCAGAGAAGATCGTTCAAACAAAGCTAAAAATTGTAGCTAAAAGCTCACGTCAAATTCTCAATTGTCCTCTTTTGCTGTCGAATAGTTTCTTCTAATATTTCAATTTCTCTTTTCGCAGATTCATCACCATCACTTTTCTTCTGTTCCAATACATATAGAGCTCGAGTCTATAATTATGATGTCTCCAACAGTTCATATAAATTTGAAATATTAATCAAAGAAAAAAATGGTAGTTTGAAATCTTGATGTGTTAATTTAGTAGTTCAATTCGATCCGAATTTCACCTTGAAAGTTGAATGTTCTTCAGAGAGATCATCGAATTGTCGTTGTAATGATTCACGTTGAGAACAAAGTGATACCAGTTGTCGATTTAATGAAGCATTTAATGCCTCTAAATCTCCAATCTTCTCTTCGTTTACTCCAATTACTGTTATCAACTGATCTCGTTCTTTGTTTCCATCAGAAACTTGCCTCTGGAGTTGTTCCGTCAAATCTTTTCCTTCTTTTTCACGTAAGGCAAGTTCCGTTTTTTTCTCTGAAATAAGTGATAATGAGCATAATCATTCGTGTTTTCGAAACAACCGCTATTGTACTCAACATACAATTTGGTAAACATCTGACACACTGTTCAAAATTTGAAAAAACCTGCCTTTCATTTCTTCCTTTAACTTTTTGAGGAGAATATTCAGTTCCGTAATGTTATCGTTGAGGAGATCCTTTTCTTCTCGAATATTGTCCTTTTCTTTCATTGATGATTCTAATTCTAATAGCAGTGAACTTTTTTCGAGATTTACTGCTTTAAGCTCTTTCTGCAGCCGTTCAACTGTTTTCTCAAAATCGGCCATTTCTAATGTGATCACATTTTCCACACTCTTTTTCTGAATTTTGCAGAAAATATTATTTCATTACCTAGAAGTCTAATTTTAGAGAATAAACTACTCGATTTTTCAATGAAAAATCAGCTCTTTAAAAGATTCTGAAGAGGCATTGAAGAGACATTAAATAACTTGAAGAGACATTAAATAAAAAAATGAACCTCTTTGTAAGATTCAAGTTGTGCATAGGCATCATCCAATAATGAACGCAATTCAGCCACTGTAACTGTCAATTTTTCTTTTTCTTTGGCTTGCTGAAGAATAAATATGCAAATCGATTCATAGTAATATTTGAGAAGTCTGATAACTGGAAGTTATCGGGAATATTCAGAATGACACTGACTTTGAAAATAATAAAATACCTTGTCACATTCTTCTGTTTGTTTTCGAAGCAAATCCTTTATTGAAGCCAATTCGTTTTGCAACTGAACGATATGAACAGGAATTCCATCACTACCACTCGATTCATTGTGATGTTTATTTGATTCAGCCTTTCCATCCACCTCCTGAAAATGAATCTTTTAATATCTTGACAATTCCTGCACTTTTAAGCTACTTTTCAGCCTTTTTTCCAAATTTTTCTTTTTCCTGTTAAAGAAGTGAGGACAAAGAAATACCCGATTAAACCCAATCTATTAATGAAATTTCTGGAAAATACCGAAACTTCACCTGGACTCCCTTTAATTTCGTTTCTAGCTTCTCAAGTTTTAGTGTCAATTCAGAGCACTCCATTTTCAGATCATTACATTTCTGAAAAATGAGGAAAAGACTGTTCTTTGGTTTATCTTTGACTTTAAGAACAATTCCTTGGTAAAGATTCTTTCATCAAATTATTATCTGTAGTAATATATACAGAAGGAATGAAAAAATTTTTCGTGATAAAATATAACATAACATCCAAACTATGCCTTCTTTTAATAGCTAACACGGTTGGCGAATTTTTCGGTATGCAATATTACTAATATCTCAAAAACATTGATTTAATTATACTGTTATGCATTACACTTTCGCTATTACCCTCAAAAAAAGTTTCAAAATTAACTTCGTTCAGTTGCTGAATTTCTTTTGTTTTTTCCGTGCTTTTTTCTTGCTCATCCTGTAATTTCTTTTGAGATTCCTAAAATAATTTAATACATTTCTTGGTCAACTATTTATGAGTCACTATTCCATCGATTAGAAGCGAACTTCTAATTTCAAGAAATTTTGCCATTGGTAGATCATCATACCAAAACAAGCGGCGTAAATGACAGGTACAGAATGAATCATGTCTGCATGTTTCAAAAAAATTGTCTCTAGGTAAGATACTACAATAAAAACAGGAAGGCAATGTCATCATTAATCAAAAATGACCTGAAGTTGTGCAATTAAAATATAAAATCATCTAACAAAATAGTGAAAATCTTCCAGCATACAGTGAAATCCTTTTGCACTTCTGCCAACTCGATTTTGAGCTTTTCATTTTCACACTTGGCAGTTTTCAATTTTTCAATTTGTTTTTTGACGAAACGGATCAAATCATCTCGTGAGAGGGCATCCACCTGAAATTTGTTATTTTCAATTTGAAACTTACTTGATGTATTTGAAATTTTGTTCAAAGCGAAAACAAATGAATACGATAGACAATGCCACTTCGAAATCGCTAAAAGGAACGTAAAGGATATCTTATTGCTCTCTATTACACTAATTTACCATTGCTTTTTCACAAAAAAAGAAAAAAAGTTGTTCCTAGAGAAACTAGAAATTCTTTTCTCACATACTTGACAGCTTGACTAACCTTTTCCAAACCGTAAAATCAAAATTCCAAGCCAAATTTTTCCCAACTGTAAAATCTCAAGCTGAATCTCACATCACTCACCTTTGATCGTGGCGTCACAGCCCCACTGGTTGACGTGGACACTTCTATCAACGTGCCACTCATCTCTGTCTCTCCTAACTCTCTCTCATTCCCTCATATTCCTTCCTGAAACTTATAAAAGATCAACACTATCTCTAAACTATCCGGAACGAATAATAACAATCAAATCAAACAAAAAAAGTTGTTTAAGATTCTCGCAATTTGAATTTAAACCCACGTGAAGATGAAAATGGGATTATGTTGGGAGATCGGACCTGGATAAGGGGTCGATGGAAATTGTAGCGTAAATTTGTCATTTCTCCTCTTATCTGTCTCCAAATATCTTCTCGAGAGAATACAATTCTTCTCTATTCCTCGGAGGTATATCCGGCTATCGATATCCTTTGGAAGTAACAATTAAAAGGTTAACAGTAGTGATATTACATTCTCTTGCTGAAAAGCGACGGATATGTCATATGATTTACAAATGTGGCACATTTCGAGCGCGAATTTAAAATTTGAAAGTTTCACTTCAGGCAAATTATGGTTTGTTTATTAGTTGACAAAGAATGAACAAAATATCTCCACCGATAACATCCCTATATTTTGTATATTTTCATTGAGAAAACTTTTCTGTTTTTCTCATATCTCAACTGATAAAACTCTTCCCTCTATTTCCTTCATATCTCTTTAACTCCTACTTTCTACAGCTTTATTTTCCTACTCCACTGCTAACACTTTTCTCCCCATCTTGCTCATATTTCCAATGAGAAAACTCTGTTTTCTTCATACCTCCATAGATAACACTTCTCTCTCTTCTCTTTTCCTCATATCTCCACCGATAACATTTTTCTCTACTTCATATCTTTTCAAGGTACTTCATTCTATTTCACAGCTCTTCATTTATATGATTTAGCTATATTTACCTTCTATGCCAGTATCATGTGACAGATAAACTATCACATGGTATATCCATCTATTAGCCGCTCGACTCGATAGTACCGTACGACGAATCGTTTTTAAATTCTGATAAGAGAATTGATTATCACAGGGACAAAAAGAAGCAATTGTAGAAAATCACAATTCATTGCTTTCTTTTCTATTTTCACTTATCCATCTGCATTAGATAATTTTCAATATTTTTGCGTGAGAATTCAAAAGACAGGTATTTTTATTCAAATAATAGAAGAGTACACCTGACAATAATTTAAGCAATAAATAAACTTTGTAACTTTTCACTCCTAACCGATAAAATTAAACTATATGAATTAATTTACCGAAGGAAACTCTCAATTCTCCACATCATAATCAATCTTTACTAACAAAATTACACGTATATATTAAGAAAATATTTTTCAAAACAAAAAAATCGATAATATATTAAAATAGACAAAAGAAATGAAATTTAGAAGTTAAGCAAGAAATAGTCGAAATAATTGATCAAATCATAAAAGGCTGAATGGAAATATTTGTAAAGAAGCAAAGGCAGAAAAGAGAGAAATAAATGAATTAAAAGATAATTCTTAAAATGAGAAATTGATTTTAGTTCCTTCAAAGAAATTACCATTTTTAACTGAGAAAACCCGTAAACAATCATTATCGGTGTAGTTAAAATCGAATCAATCAATCAATCAATCGATCAATCAATCAATCAATCAAAATATATATGTGAGAAGTGGAAATTAGTGCAGGAAAAGGTATAAACATAAAAGTATAAACATAAGAAACTTATCTTTGCTCTTATTTGATAAATTCTGCAGCAGATTTTAAATTCTTAAATTCTACTTCTTTCTTTAATTCTATTCTACTTCTTTTAACTCTATCATACATTCTATTTCGTTTAACTCTCATATAATTTACATCATACATTTTAATTTTGCTAAACAACCATTTTGAAATAATGATAAATTCTACTTCTTCCTTAAACTCTATCACATGTAATCTATGTCATATCTATACGTTTTGCTAAACAACTATTATAAAGTGATAATTATATTGATATATGTAGTAATAATTTATATATTGATTATTGATGCACTTAGGAAGATCAGAAATTGATATAAACAATAATAATTTATATTAATTATCGATATAATTAGGAAGATTAGAAATTATATAATTTTTTGAGTGAAAAATTTTTGGCAAAACGATTAATGTAATAGCTTTTTTTTGTAAATGATCAAATTAAAAAACAAAAAAAGAACAAAAACAAAAAAGAAATAATTAACAAATAATTAAGAAAGATGAAAGAATTAATATTACAAATCAATTATTTAATTCCTACTTAACTCCTAATCAAATTATTTTCATCAAAAAGAATTAAACAAATAATGAGGATGACGTAAGCTAAATACATTTTATCACTGATATGATATCTAACTTTTATATAATACTAACAATTTTATAAGATTAGTAAAACAATCCTGTGAAGCACTTATTTAGCTAACATTGATTTCTTGATAAATACCACCTGAATTCATAATATAATCCATAATATCGATAAATGCAACAACAGCCATAACATGTTGATTACAATCAACAATAAATAAACATTGATCATTAGATGATAACAATAAAGCAATTCCTTCGTAGACAGTATGAGTTGGACGACCAAACGGTGGAACACGATAAACATTCTGGAAAGTCATAATAAATTAAATATGAATTATATAATTAAGCTACGGATAACTTATAGTTATTGACAGCTACATTTTGGCTCTTTAACTATATTGCTATCTAAAAAAAAAATATCAATATCCTTAAACAGAAGATTTTTGTTAAAAGTTAAAATTTAAATTAGTATAACTAATTATTTAAACAAATTGTAAATAACAACCTTAACAGGTACATTGACAATTTCTAAATAATTATTGAAATGTTTTGCAAGCTCATGCATAATATCATTTTTGCTGATTTTTCCGAGCAACATATTATGCTCATTAACTACAGCAATACATGATAATTTCCCTGTTATCAGTTTATCAATTACTTCACCACAACACGCGCTAGTTGTAATCTGCAAATTTTAATTGGATCAGAATAAAATTTAACAAAGCATAAAATTAATCATTTCCAGCAAAAATCATATGTTGATGAAAGGAAACCGAAAACTGATAGAAATTCGGAATTAAGCAAGAAAATAGAAGTAGAAATAACTCTTCAAATCATCATTTTCTCATGTACTCAATAAATTGTGAATTTAAAATTCATCTTTAGAAATGAAACATTTAATTTGTATTATAGCAATAAGAAAGTTAAAATTAAAAAGGTCAAGGGTTAAATTAATGCATTTTGTGCTATTCACACATTTGTTGCGCTTTTGCTTTTTTGCTTAAATTATAATTAAAATTGCCAGTCGCTATTTTTTTTGATCAAGACCATTGACCCCAATAGGTCAAAGTAGATAAGTGGATAAATGAATTAACTTCACTGATTACTAGAATTTCTTTTTCAGCTCGAATCAATAAATTTTCATCTATTCTCTCTTATACGACAATTATCAGTAATTGATATTTTCATATCATATTAGTGTAATTTGAAAATTCTAACTACGAATGATACAAATACAAACAAACCGTAACAATATTCGTCCATGTACCAATACCGGAATCGAGTAATGTTCGATGCTTTAAATGTGGTGCTAATGAAAAACTTGGCTCTATCTGAAATATTTCTTATCTTAAAAACTTCTGATAAAATTTAAGCTAAGAAAAATTAGATATTAACATTTAATTAAAATTTTTGAAATATCATTTTATTATCAATTTCTGTTATCAATATGATAATCATTTTCAAGAAAAATAAATTTCCTTCTTTCAACGAAATACAAAATTCATTTACCAATTTGATAATTGTTTCATCGAAAATTCGTCGTAATGATAACATATAGAGAATATCAGTGAATAGATCATTTTCTTCTGTTTGAAATATGGGTATACGATGAACATGATTGAGGCAAAACAATCTAGCTGCATCCCAAACACTGCAATATAAAAGCGGAAGCATGAGAAATATAATCAAGAGAGACGAAACTTCCAGGATATTCTGAAAAAGCCTGAAAAATTAAAATCAAAAATTTGTTGAATAATTATGAATTAGCTAGGAAGAACAATTAAAAATTTAATAGTAAGAATTCACTTATCAAATTTATATGATTAAATTTAAGGTAAGAAATTTGAAACAAATTAGGATCACTAACGACATATTAACAGTTGCAGTGATAAATTTTTTCTTGCCATATATTCTGATGAAATCGCAAACCGGACGATCACTTATTTCAGAATCGATATTGAGTGTTAAGATGATTGCACGAAGACAATCGGTAACAGTTATCATACCTATCGGATGATGTACAGTTGAATTGATTACCATAGCTGCATCATGTCCCGATTGATAAAGAGCTAGCAATGATTTGCGCATCTAGAATCGATCAAAATTAATTATGTGAAAATTTGAAAAATATCATTGCTCTTAGGATTATGATTCCAGATTCAAGAATCTGGAATCATAATCCTAGATTCTGTCATTTCTCATTTTTGCAAGCAAAAGTTTTGAATGATGCATAACTTAAACAAAAATCTACAAAACCTATATGTATTGTAAATTTATCGATAAAATTTACCGGTAGATCACCATCAATTAGCACAGTTGATCCATGAACTGGTGCTAAATCATAGCATAACAATGATTGCATATATTGCTTATAAGGATCCATATGTCTATCTGCAACATATAGATTAGAAATTGATGCATATAAATTTCAAAGTTTATTAAATCTTTTATTCTTCAAAATTTTTGGATAGGCCTTAGCTTCAGACGAAATAAAACAACAGCTAGCTGAAGAATAGTTCAGGATAAGGCCTATCATATTTAAATACATCCTATATCGATATCGGATTCATCTAAAAAAAATTCTGTCTTTGCGATACCGGATTCATCTAAAATTTTACTCCGGAAAATCAAATTTCATAGGTTTAATTTTCTCATTTGCATAAAGCAAGCTATTTGTTTATACTTTCTTTTTTGCATAAAATATAACATACCAAATGCAGCAACAATCTCCAGCTGATGTTCCCGAGATTGACGTAGTATCGCATAATCCTAAATTATATCCCTGATTGATAATAATTCATTAAGTTGAAATGAATTTTTGAAATTTAAAATTAAACGAAAATTTCAATTATATCAAATTAATAATGAAAATGTATGAAATATTTTTTGATCAATCATTATTTGCTTTTTTGGGAATTATTTTGGATTTAAATAAAATTATAAAAATTAAATTATTATTTATAGGAAAAAAAACAAATCGTAAATTTAAGCTTTATCTTTGCGATTGTTTCATCAAAGTAATACATTTAGAAATTTTGCGAGCAATAATTGAGATTTGCGATTTTACAAGTTGACCCTCAATGCAATCTCTCTCAATCGTTGTTAAATTCCGTAAAAGTTAAGTAGGAAAAAAGGAAATTGTTTAATTCTATATTCCGTCTATTACAGCTTTCAGAGAAGACTATCGTAGAAAAATATTCGGATAATTTTGAATTCATTTTCTTATCCTTAAAAAAAAAGTGCCTAACTTCTTTATTCATATCATCAATAATCAAAAATTCGAGAAGAGGGAAAATTTTTAAATCAAAATTTGAAAAAAAAGAATAGCCTAAGAAATCAAAAGTTTCTTTTTGCATATACAAGTTTTAATATTTCAATAGTTTCTTTTAAGTCAAGCGTATCTGTAAATTAAAATCCATTTCAATTCTTTTGTTCGCTGATCAATTGTAATAGATTGTAGATCTTATCCATTTCATAGGATCACAAAATAAATGATTAAAAAGCCAAATTTAAATTTCAGTATTTGAATTCTTTTTCATACTGAAGGAATATGATTGAATAAAATTTTGCAAATATCATTTTGCAAAAAATTAATAATGGAAATAACAACGGGAAACTTATGTCAAAGGTCATTATAGCTATAGAATAGAATGTATTAAATTTCAACTTCATGAACTTGGAACTCTAAGGTAAATACATTTATTAAAATGCAAATGTAAATTCAGTAAATATTTCACATATGAAATAATACTGATAATAAATCTAAAAAATTAATTGACTGAAAAACAAAAAGAACGAATAAATAATAATTTAGTATATATAAAGAAATTATTATTAATTTTTTTTTTTAAATTCAAAATCGAATAAATTTAAATTGAAAAAAATAAATTCATCAGATATTACAGTAACCTTTTTTGGAACACTAAAACGATATTTCGATATTGTCTTATTCTGTTCCTCATCATATTTTTCCATTTCAATGAATTGATGATGATTATCCATTGAAATTTTATTTTCATTAATTGATCCATTTGGTAATGAGTTGGCCAATTGATGATGATGATTACATGATGATTGTATCTGATAAATTAACAAGTTATTTGATATTCTATTTTATTTTAATTTCTTTTTATAAATAAATATATCTAACAGTGATAACAGTGATAACAATTTATTTGATATTCCATTTTATTTTAATTTCTTTTTATAAATAAATATATCTAACAGTGATAAGTGTGATAACAACTTATTTCATATTCTATTTTATTTTGATTTCTTTTTATAAATAAATATATCTAACAGTGATAACAATTTATTTGATATTCTATTTTATTTTAATTTCTTTTTATAAATAAATATATCTAACAGTGATAACAGTGATAACTATTTATTTGATATTCTATTTTATTTTAATTTCTTTTTATAAATAAATATATCTAACAGTGATAAGTGTGATAACAACTTATTTCATATTCTATTTTATTTTAATTTCTTTTTATAAATAAATATATCTAACAGTGATAAGCGTGATAACAATTTATTTTATACTCTACTTTATTTTAATTTCTTTTTATAAATAAAGATGTCTAACGGTGATAAGTGTGATAACAACTTATTTCATATTCTATTTTATTTTAATTTCTTTTTATAAATAAAGATGTCTAACAATGATAACAGTGATAACAATTTATTTCATATTCTATTTTATTTTAATTTCTTTTTATAAATAAATATATTTAACAAAAAGTATGATAGAGAAAAAGAAGAAAAATTCATTTACTTTTCCATCATCCTTTCGTCGTTTAACAAATTTACAAAATACACTGAGACGATTGAAATTTTTACGCGATGATTCACTATCATCATCCTTGATATCAATCGAATCATCATCATCATTATCATTATGATAATTATTAACATTCATGATCAAATTATAATGTTGATAAACGAGTAATAGCTGAATTAAATTAAAATCAATCAATTGTATTGCATAATTTATTAATTGAATTAACAACATTTATCGTATTACGCTAATCTTCTTTCATTTATGATTATGTTAATGAAATATGAAATGAGGAAAAATAGCAAAATTCCCTTTGCTATTTTTATTACTGATAAATTTACTGATAAATGATATGAAATGAAAAATAATTCATTTCGAATAAAATTATTCCTAATAAAGAAATAAAAAGATGAAAGGTAAGATTTTGATGAAACAATAAATAATAGCGTTTAATTATATTGGTTGAAAATGAGATAATTATATTAAAATAATTAAAATAAAATGATAAAATTATAGTGAAAGATTAAGGATAAGAATAAAAGTTAATAATAAAAGTGTGAATTGAGTTTTAAAATGTGGGAATAACAAAATTGATTAACTTTTGTTCAAACAAAAGAAAAATGAATTTTTTGTTTTGAAAAAATTAAATAAACATATGTTAGTTAGATATTACATGCATATAAATTATTTTTATCATTATTAGCGTTAACATCGATTGATTATTTTAGCGATACGACTAAAGATCAAAGATAGAACGGCAGCAACATCCAACAACAACTAGCAACAGCAACAATCAGCAACAACAACAACAATCAACAACAACAATAACCAATAACACAACAACAATAACAACCAACAAGAGAAACAACAACAACAACAACAACCAACAACAGCAACAATCAACAACAACAGCAACAGCAATCAACAACAACAATAACCAACAACACAACAACAATAACAACTAACAAGAGAAACAACAACAACAACAACAACCAACAACGGCAACAATCAACAACAACAATAACCAACAACAACAAATAGTATCTGTTTACAAAAAATTAACCAAATAACACTTAATTAAAAAAGTGGAAACATTGAAGCGATGAAAAAAAAAAAAATTGGAAAATAATAATAATGATAAAAATTTAAGAACGTTTAAATAGTGTGACATAATTGTTGCACCGATACTAATCGACAATTTACTGCATTTCGACAAAGTTGTAAACAAATACCCAACATCCATATGGAGTCTGTAGCTTTCTTGCTTTGGCTTTCATCCAGAATGACGTCAACATTTGATAATTCAATACAAAGTTGGAAAATATTATTATTAATAATAATTATCACAGCTAGTTTAATTTTAAATGAAAAAGTTTAATTTAATTTAAAAGAAAAAGTTTAAGTTTAATTTAAAAGAAAAAAGACAAATTATAAAGTGAATTATTTAGCTAAAATAAATTTATGCATAATAATATTAGAATGTATTAACAAATTATACATTATAAATGATTTAGTGATACTATGAAAATGAATCAGATCGAGATATATATCTATTTATCACATATAGATTAATTATACAATATTGTTAACACTTAATTATACAATCTTGTTAACACTATATGATAAGTTAGTGATAATTTTCAAAATTAATCAATCAAATTTCAATAATTTATAAATGGAAAAAATCAAAAATGAATTTTTGATAATAAAGAGAAAGGATAAATAGAATATTATTGCATTTGCTTGCAAACTATTGAGAGGTAGAAATTAGGAAATATTTTGCAAAAATGAGAAAAACACAATTTTTGTTCTTTGACCTTTTTATTTTATTTATAGCTATTGCAACCTGGCTGGTTACTTTTTGAAGTTGTTGATGAATTGTTTACATATATATATATATATATATATATGTATGTAGTATGTATGTAATTCTTTGCAGTATGTAGGTTAGGCTATTTTAAGCTGAATAAACAAATTTCAATGATGTGTGTGTGTGTGTGTGTGTGTGTGTGTGTGTGTGTGTGTGTGTGTGTGTGTGTGTGTGTGTGGAAAGCTTTATTTTTGAAAGCTGTAATTTTCTTTTTTGTTAAAACAATCCCTTTAAAATGTGATTAATAAAATAGCAAAAATTTTGATAGATAAAATATATTGCAAAAATTTTAAATTTTGTTATTTTCAATTTTAATAAAATTAAAAATAATGAGAATGATAATTATTTGATGACAGCTGCTGTTAAAACAACAACATAAGATTGATTAACAAAAAGAAATTTTTGAAATATTGTTAACAATGAAGAATTCATTGAAAAATAATTATAATTGATATAATAATTAATAACGAGGAAAGATTTGTATGATTATTGTTTTTTGTATTCTATCATTAAAAATTCAAAATTTCAACTATCAAATTTAAATTAATCCTCGAGAATATATTTATTATTGTGAATGAATGAATGAATGAGGGATGATGACAATTTAAAATATTTTAATTTATTTAAAAACAATACTGGGACTAAATTTATCACGACAACCTTATGAGATTTTTGAATTAATCAAAAATTGATACTATTTTTTTAATTACATTTATAATAATATATAGATAATGATAATTATTAACATTCATGATCAAATTATAATATAGATAAACGAGTAATAGCTGAATTATAGTATAGCTGAGTTTTTTTCGCCATCATTTAATAGTGATAACATGATAACATTTTCTTTTTATTTCTACGATTATTTCCAGAAAATTTTTATCACTGATAATGTTATCACTACAAAATGAAATTTGAATAAGAGAAAGTTAATTTAACCTTTTTGTTTTACACGCATAAAATATTGACCTTGTAAAAAAATAATTGTAATCATTTTACTAGGAAACAAAATTGAAGAAAAAATTCTTCACTAATTGATTACATACCTGTGATTACTGATCTCTTCTATCAGTTCTTTTTTTTTTCTGATTTCCAAACAATATTGCCAGCTATTGACTTTTGGTGTACAATGGGTAAAGAATTTATTGAAAAGAAAATTGATTAATTAATTAAGCTCAGAATTATTATTATTATTTAAAAAAAAGGAAGCATTAAATTGAAAATTTTTGTAATTTATAAAATCTAAATTAATTTTTTTAATTGAAAAAATAGTTTGTGAGAAAATCAGACAGAATACTTAAAATTTGTATTTGAATGTGAAATTTAAAAATTACAACTTCAAAATTGCAGCAATTATGAAATGAAAAAAGTAAATTCGTAAATTAAATTAGTACGAAATTTTTGAACTTAAAAAGAAAAATACGATGAAATTAAATTTTACCAAATTAAAAATTTCAGTTTGCAAAAATAAACTCCAAATTAAAGGACTATAAATTGCATATCAATTTTAATTACTAAAATTTATGAAATGAATTTTCAAATGAGACTATAAATTTCATATCAATTTGAATTACTAAAATGAAACATCTAATTTGAAATTTAACAAATTGCATTTTTTATCATGAAGAAAACTTACATCACTTTGATTATTAAAACCAAAAAATTTCAATTTTTCTTTTTTATTTTTAATATTTGTCTTCTAATTATTTTATGGCTTAAAAAGTTTGAAATTGAAATTAAAAAAATAAGTAAAAAGTACGACGGAATATCATTTAATGATTTAGTAAATAAATTCTGATAAGTGCTAAGAAATCTGATAACAAATGTTATTACTGATAAGTGAAAGAATGCTTATCATAGAAGGGCAATTTCTGATAAAAGTTTAATGTCATAAAAAATGGACAATTCATTTTCTGATACTTCGTTTTTTGTTTGTCTTCTTATTATTTCGAATTTCACATCAATAATTTATGCTTTGTTAGAAAAGGAGAAAGAGAAAACGAAGAGAAATAGAGGGAGAGAGAGAGAGAGAGAGGAAGAGAATTATATAAGAGAGAGAGAGAGAGAGAGAGAGAGAGAATAAATCTAAAATTACTTCTAACATTTAATTATCATACAAATGATGGAGAAAAAAGAAAGATTAAAAATTCATTAAAATTTCAAATTAAATGTAGCAGAAAAATCAACTATTTAACACATCACACCATATCACATTTCTCTTCATACATTTTCACTGATATAACAGAGAGAGAGAGAGAGAGAGAGAGAGAGAGAGAGAAAGAGGTGGGTAAATAATACTTAATTGTGTTTATTCACTTAGTTCACATGTACTAATTTCTCTTTTAGGGACAGCAAGAAAAAAAAAAAATAGGAAGAGATAAATGATTGATTGATAGATTCTCTCAAAAACATGAGAATGTCTCGTGCACGTTTTATATTCATGTGCACGTTCTTTTTTTTTTTTGAAAAAATCGCAAACAAACGATTTCAAAAAGAAAAGAATTGCAAAAAATCGCAAACAAACGATTTCAAAAAGAAAAGAATTGGAAAAAATCGCAAACAAACGATTTCAAAAAGAAAAGAATTGTAAAAAATCGCAAACAAACGATTTCAAAAAGAAAAGAATTGTAAAAAATCGCAAATAACAAATTTTTTTTTAAAAAGAAAAAAAAAGAGAAGAAAAGATAAAAAAAAAAATGAATTTAATGAATTCAATAATTTTATTTTTTATTTTTTATTTTCTTCCCTAAATTTTAGGATTATTTTGGCATACATCTTTTCTTCCTATCACATTTGTAAAATTAAATCCTGAAATATTTATTATATAAGTGAGAGTAATTTTCTTCTCTCAGTTATTAGTTATTAATATGTAACAAATAGTTGAAATTAACAAAATTGTGGTTATAGTTCATTTTTTTCAACGAAATAAAAGCTTATATATATTGATTGTTTGGAAATTATTTCTTCAAAGTCATGAAATTTATGAAAATGAGTTGTTAATATGTAATAAATAATTGAAATCAACAAAACTGAGGTTATAGTTCATTTTTCAATGAAATAAAAAAGCTTATATATTAATTGTTTAAAAATTATATCTTAAAAGTATAAAATTTATGAAAATGAGCATTAAATATTTGTAATAACTTTTTGATGATAATTCTAATTTTTCCCTTGTTTAATTTTAATAAATTAAAATTAATTAAAAAAAAATTTAGGCTGTCATCATAAAGTTATTTCAAAGTTTTACATCTAATTTCAACACTTTTACATCATTCATTCATTCTTCCCCAATAATAATTATAAATTTTCAATTTGATAAAAAATTCATTTCAAATTATCCTATCAGATTTCCTAAAATTCAAAGAATGAAAAAAGAAATGAAAAAATATACAAACGAGTCATTTTTTTTTAAAAAAGAAAAATCGATCTTATCCAATTTATTTTAATCATCATTATTTTCAACGATCGTTGAACGACTTGATTTCAATAGCTCTTCACAATTATCCAACCAATAAGTGAGCAATGTGCCAATTCCCTGTAACAATTATAATTTTCCAATAATTTATAATAAAGGAAAAATATTTCCAATTATTTTCAATCAGATTGCTCATTTTTTTTTTACTATTGATACTGGTAAAATGATTATTTAATTCAAATTTTAGGTATCCTTAAATTTAAAATGTTAGTTTTCATTTTTACTATTAGTACTTTTACTATCAATGAATTCAAATTTTAGCTATCCTTAAATTTAGAAAATTAGTTTTTATTTCTACTATTAATATTTATACTATCATTTAATCCAAATTTTAGGTATCCTAAAATTTAAAATGTTAGTTTTCATTTTTACTATTAATATTTATACTATCATATAATTCAAATATTTGGTTATCCTTAAATTTGAGTTGTTAGTTTTTATTTTTACTATAAGTATTTATATTATTATTGAATTCAAATTTCAGTTATCCTGAAAGTTAAAGTGCTAGTTTTCATTTTTACTATTAATATTTATACTATCATTTAATCCAAATTTTAGGTATCCTAAAATTTAAAGTGTTAGTTTTCATTTTTACTAATAATATTCATATCTAACATTTAATTCAAATTTTAGGTATCCTGAAATTTAAAATGTTAGTTTTCATTTTTTTTTTTTACTATTAATAATTATTCATACTATAATTTTACGAAATATTCAAAAACAAACAATTCAGAAATTTCATCATCCAATGGATGCAATTTTCTCTTCTATCACTATTTATTCTTATAGCAAATGAAACAATCATTCAATATGAAACATAAATTGAAAATTTTTTCAACTTCATGAAGAAAAATATTTGTTGGAAGCTTTTATTTAAAATAAAAGAAAAGAATGAAAATTATTTTTTTCAAATAGAAAAATGCCTAAAACAGACATCAATTCGAACTCCACCACGCGGTGAGCATTTAAATTCCGGATATCGTTCGCTTAGTAACTGATAACTTTTTAGTGTAATTTGAATTTTATCCGGTAAACCGCTACTTTCCATTTTTGATGCCAATGTTACCTAAAATAATTTTCAAAATTTCCATTTTATTTTCTTCTACTAAAAGCGGAAAGAAGAAAAAGATGAGGTGTATAAGAGAGTGCAAATGGGAAGTTGAAGTTAATACCTCAAAAAGTCGTCTTTAATAAAATCCCCTATAAATAATTGCTGTATTTCATAAGTGAGCAAAGAGTTCATTATCAATAAGTGAATGAATTAATAATTATTTCATCGCTTAAATATTTTATCGCTAATTATAGCTAATTAATATAGTGTGTAAGAGAGTGCAAATGGGAAGTTGAAGTTAATACCTCAAAAGATAATCAATCATCTTTAATAAAATCCGCTATAAATTATTATATGTCCTAAGTAAGCAAATAGTTATATGAATTAATAATTATTTCATCGTTTAAATAATTTGTCGCTAATTATCGCTAATTAATTTAAATTAACAAAATTTTTCTTCAGTAATCAAATTGAATTTGTTAAAACTATTTATTTCATCCGAAAGATTTCTCTCAGATTTGCAAATAAAAACAATAAAAGAAAAATAAATAAATAAATAAACCGTTTTGCCAAAAACACAATATCTCGGTGCATTTAAACCAACAACTCCAGCAAACACAGGCCCTGTATTAAAACCCCAACGACAGTATAACCTTTGCCCCGGTCTATGCGGTATTTCATATTCCGATAAGAACTGAAAATTTTATTTTTATTTTTCTTAAAAAAGAAATTAATATAATCTTTCAACAATTTTCATCATTTCAACATTTCATTACTAATTGTTGCAACTTATTATTAATTATTGAAAAATGCAACTTTAATTATTGAAGAATTTTTTGTCAATAAATTTAAATTAAATTTATTAAATTATTTCAAACTAAATTTTGCTAAAAATCTTCTATTCGTTTGCTTTAAAAATATATATATATATATAATATATCCGTATTTCTTCTCATTATCTTTGTTGTGAATATTTATTTATTTTCCGTTGTTGAAAATCGTTTTTAAATAGATCTAATCAATAATGCATCTTTTTATTCGTAGAAAAAGAAAATTCGAAATTCTAAAAGGAAATAATTAAAACTTATAACTAATTAAATTAATTAAATAAGTTAAATAAATTAAATTAAAAAATAATTAATTAAATTACATCTCTCATCAAAATTGCAACAGAAGCAATATCACGAACATGATCATGTCGACTAACAATTGGTACTCCAGATGTTACCATATATGCATCACCAATTGTTTCAACCTTAACGAATAATTTGATATACAGCAAATGATATTGGTTAAAATTTAAATTTTTATTAATATTAATAATTCTGCAATTAAAATAAATGAAAATTTTGTTTTTTGAAATTTTAAATTTTAAAAATTTTTCTTCTGAAATTTATTTCCTATAGATTAATTACTTTTTTATCTTTCTCTTTGTCTATATCAAAGTATAATTAGTTAATAAGGAATTACCTTGTAGCAATGATGCTGTGAGATAATTAAATCAAATTTTTGAAAAACACCACTTAACAATGTTACTACTTCCATCGGTAAACTATCACTACAGAGTGATGTAAAACCGACAATATCAGAATACATCACTGTTGCTGATTTATAATTTTTTGGATCAACTCGACGACTTATTTTTAATTCATCAGCTACTGATCTGAAATATCGATTGCATCGCTCTTTTTTCACTAAAAAAAATTTAAAATCTTTTTCAAATCAATTTTGCATCAAAATTGAATAATTAATTATTGGAAATATTTAATTCCAAAGGGGGGGGGGAAAAAAATGATAAAAGCGAGTGAAAATAATTTAAAATTGATTTTAATGCTTTTAAGGACTTTTAAGGGGTTAATGCTTTTAAGGACTTTTAAGGATTGTGTAATTGCTTTTATCCAAAAGATTTACAGTTCTTATAATAGCCTATTAATTTGCTTCTAAAAGAATAACTTTTAAATTGATATCTTACATAGGTAATAACTTAAGAAGCAAAACGTTTAACATACTCCTGTAAATGTATGCTTCCTATTAACAGCCTAAAAAATTAAACTGATATCTTTACTTGGGTAATAACTCAAGAAGTAAACGTTCAGCATGCTCTTGCGCTTCTTCCAATTGTCTCGTACGTTCTTTTACCAAATCCTCCAAATTGTTCGTATACTGTAGCATAAAAATTTCATTAGAACTTTTTGCTTCATATTTGCAAAATTTACAATCACATATCTTAAATTAACTTTTCTCGACTCGTTTCAATAACTTTTATTATTGATTAACATTTGAGTAAAGATTAAAACTATCTTCACCATATATGATATGGTATATGGGATTATATAGTTTATATATGATGATATATCAATCTCATATTATCTTGAATCTTCACATATCATCACATATCTTAATCATTACATATCTTATCATATATCTTGAAATAAACTTTCTCGATCCTCGAAAAGGATCGAGAAAGTTTAATTAAAACTATCTTCACCATATATGATATGGTGTATGGGATTTATTGGATATAGTTTATATATGATATATCAATCACATATCTTAAATTAACTTTTCTCGATACTTTGCAATAACTTTTATTATTGATTATCATTTGAGTAAAGATTAAAACTATCTTATCTTCATCATATATAATATATCTCTTCAAATGTCTCCATTCCTTCTGCTAGAGATTTAATTAAATTTGTTATGATCGTTTAGTACAAAAATATTATTGCAAGTCAAAGACTAATTATAGCTTCGATATTTCCATAAAACTTTAATGAATGACTAAAACAAAGAAAAAAGTTTCATTAAAATGAAAATTATACCTCTTCAAGATTTTTGATCATCTGATCGACCAAACTACCCGATCTGAAGTTTTTGATAGAAATAATTTACTATACTATTGTTGAGATAATAATCTCTTTGCTTTCCTCCCGTAAAAATAAGTATATCTGAGTAATGTAATCGTATCCAGTAGAATATACGGCAAATCAACTTACATTTTCAATGTAGCATCCGTAATTTTCCGTGCTAGTACCGCATCAGGACGCTGATTAATAATTTCAGACCAGCATTTCTTCATTAGCCCAAGTAAATCCGGATGCACTTCAATATTTTTCGGGATAATTGGATATGGTGGAATTAATGCTTCAATTGACTCGCAAAAAATTTTTGAAGTATCTAAATTTGCTCTTTCGATACCTAAAATTTACAAATTAAATTTATTCATCCATAAATAATTCTATCATATTTTTCTCATGCCCTTTATTTCATATTTCTATATATTAGCTTTACTATTTATCCTACACCTATCTTCTAAAAAAAAAGGATAAATAAATATAATTTAGATAATTATAAATATATACCATAATGGTTATCATCAAGTGTAATCGATTTTCTATGAGAGATAATTTCATACAATATAATTCCAAATGAATATATATCAGCAGCTTGAAGTTGCTTAGTGTTAAACTTTACCGTACCCTTACTCATTTGTTTAAGCAAGCGACGCATATCTGGCGAATAGTAATGTAAATCTGAATTTATAATTTTCAATTAAAGCTATTCCAAGCGTATTTATTTCGATTATCACTTCTGATAAGGCAAATATAAGAGCTTAAATTTACAGTAATTTTATCATTTTTCGAAGAAGTTTTTATTTTCAACACAAAAATTATCTTTCAAAATTTTTGTAGAAAAATATCTTACACAAAAATATCATTAAAAATTTTTGCATTTCCTTGTGTATCTTCTAAATTGAATTTATAATTTTAACATATATTCCAAAAACTGGCATCAAACCAAAACTTTTGATATATTTTTAAATAAGTAAAAATTGGTATGATAAAATGATTAAACATTAAAATTTCCGTCTCCTATTAAATTTAAATTTTAAAATTCCAACTATTTCTACAGACCTGAATTTGAGATTAACCATATCCTATCTTTGACACCTATGAAACCTTTTATAGTCCATTTCTGGAGTAATTTCGATAAACCAAATCCAGAAAGTTTCAAAATCCAGCGACTATCAATGAGGCATTGTGATGGAGTTAATGAACCATGATAACCAATCGTTGAATTATGCAAAAATTCCAAGCCCTTAAAATAAACAAACGATGTTTTATACATGATACTACATATATATCATACGCATATATATTATATAAGATTGATTTTGCAAAACGATTAATCAACTAAATTTCAAGATTATATTTCGTAGATTGTGTATCAAAATTAAAGCTATCTATTAAATTGAATTAAGAAAAAGATCATAATAAAAACAAACTCGAATAATATCACGAACAAAAGCTCGCTTAAAATTTTCATGAAATCCTGAACCACTCTCGTTATTCTTATATAACTTATCTGTTCCACTGGTCATCGGATTTAAAAATACTAAATCAGCTAATGTTCCACGAAAACAATAATTCCAAATTGTATAAAATTCGTTTCGTTTATTACAGCATACTCCAATGAATTGATTAATATTATCATGTACCATCTGTTTCATCTAGAATTATGGTAATAAAATAATATTTTACATTAACCAATAATGAACATTATTAATCATATCTTATCATATATCATCCATTTCATCTAAAATTATGATAATAAACAAACAATATTTTACATTAATCAATAATTAACATTATTAATCATATCTTATTATGTACCATCTGTTTCATCTAGAATTATGATAATAAACAAACAATATTTTACATTAATCAATAATGATAATTATTAATCATATCTTATCATACCTTATCATATACCATCTGTTTTCTATAAATCAGTTTTTTTAATATTAGTTATCATTATTAATATACGAATTCGTAACAAACAAACATTTGAAAATATTTTACATTAATCAATAATGATAATTATTAATCATATCTTATCATACCTTATCATATACCATCTGTTTTCTATAAATCAGTTTTTTTAATATTAATTATCATTATTAATATACGAATTCGTAACAAACAAACATTTGAAAATATTTTACATTAATCAATAATGATAATTATTAATCATATCTTATCATACCTTATCATATACCATCTGTTTTCTATAAATCAGTTTTTTTTTATATTAATTATCACTATTAAAATAAGAATTAAATAACAAACAAATATTTGAAAATATTTTACATTAAAATTTTACAATCAGTATTTAGTATTTTTTACCTATGACAGCTATTTAATTCTAACATTAATAATGATAATTGATATAATGATAATTGATAAAAATTCAACTTCGTAAAAAATACACATTTATTTTATACTTATCATAAATAAATTAACAAATTCATAAGATCAATTATCATTATATCACTTTATCAATTTCTTTTTTTGTATTACCTGATGAAGAAGTGCCACATCGGAATTATCAAAACATGGTTCTTCTTTAAGTACATATGGTTCGATAATTACTGCTCCAAAATCAGTCATTGCAAATTCTCTTGAGCGAAATAAATCATTCAATTTTGAATCCGTTTCTTGACATAAATCATTTCTTACCGATGTTAACTGTAATTATATAAATACAATAAAATTTATTAAAATTTAGGTTAATTACGAAAAATAAGAATTCTCCTCTTTTTATTTAAAGCATTAATTTAATTACACTCATTTATTCCTTTTTAGTTATTTAAGGGAAACAAAGATTTCGAAATAAATTTGATAGAGATGAATAATAATTAATATTTATGATAACTATGATAACAAGTGATAACCTATGATAATAATTACGATGATAAAAATTAATATTTACCGAACATGCATCGATATCAACAAATTTGAGAACCTGATATGGGATTGACCATGGCATTTGTGATGTTTCACCACTTTTTCTATTAAATATAATATTTAAAGATATCATTTTCTATTAATATATTCAAATAATATATCTTCTACATTAAATCATGGGTTTCAATATATTCTTAAGTAATTATAACTAAATAATTATAAGCAATTATATAATTAAGTAATTATAATTAAATAATTATAACTGATAATTTTGATTTAAAAAAAAAGATAAGAAATTAAAAATTTTGGATGAGAAAGTAAAAAATACAAAGAAAAGGAATAATTAAACTTACAATTTTCGATAAACAAAAAATGCACAAAACAATAAAATAAATGCCAATATCATAACTGAGAAACTTAATAAAGTCCTGAAATGTGATTTAAAATAAGTACTGATATTACTGTTAATCTGATATTAATTAATCTGATATTAATCTGATATATAATATCAATCTGATATTAATGATATAAAAATAAATACTGATATTAATTTACTGTTAATCGTTCTTATCATATTATCTTGCAATTAATTATAATTCAATCGTTATAATTAATTGGAATAATTCAATTAATATTATAACCGTGGATGATCGCATAGCTCGCTTTGGAAACCACATGGTGGCACATCTACTGGAAACTCCATTGTTATTGTTGTATTATAATTTGTTATTTCACCAGTCTGAAAATTTTCAATAAAAGAAATTGAAGTAAAAAATTATTTCAGAATTAAAATTCAGATAGAAATCATTTGATTTTAATCCCCATAAAAGCAATTTAACAAATACAGTAATCCATCCTATTCATTACAATAGGTAAATTATCTACAAATACAGTTCATTACAACAGTAATCCAGTAATCCTGTTCATTACAGTAATCTTATTTATTTATTGAAAACTATTAATGTCAAAATAAACTATTATTTCACATCAAATGATAACTAATTCACTTTTCAAATGAGAAAAACAATCCTTTCCGCTTACAACGCCTACAGACTTTTCTACTTTTTCACCTACAACGCCTACAAACTTTTCTACTTTTCCGCCTACAAAATTTTAAACAAAAGAGATATAATTAAAAGTTAAAAAAATTTTCAAACTCAATAAATCATTACCGGGAAATGCAAATTTGTTAATTTATTTTATATAATTTACAAATATTTTGTCATTTTAGAAAAAAACAAAAAGATCAAAGTTTTAAAATTAAAAATTATTAAAACAGATTGTTAAAATTTTTTTATAAAATTCACCAAAGTAATGCAACGTTTATTAGCTCTTTCCTTTTTTGGCAGATTACATTCTTCGGTGAGAAATAATTTTGCAATGCTAACTGGTTCTTCTTTAAATACTTCAACATATTTCGCTTGAAATGGTGTTAATCGAATTCTATATTGGTTTAACCATATTGGACCAAATGGTCCTGCAATGATTATTTCGAAATTTTCAAATGAAATATTTATCAGTGATTAATTTTTAGCTTTTGCATCATATTTTTATGCAACGTATGATATTTAAATGTATTCATTATGTTTTATAAGAAGTTATCCATTTAATAATCAAATTAAAATCATCACATACCTGTAAAATGACTATTTTTAAGTCTATCAATTAATAATTCGAATCGTTTAAGTTCAGTAAAATTATGTGATGTTTGAAAAATATTTCGAAGAAGTGTAGAATATAACCATGCTGATTCATAGAGCTCAGCATATAGTATAACTGTCAGCTAAAATATAATATTTTTTAAGTGTGTTAAGAAAAAATTAATAGGTATGGAAGATTTTAGAAAAAAAACGATAGCAGTTATACTAATAAATTGTGTTGTTATCATTTGATAAAAGTATTGTTATCATCTGATAAAAGTATTGTTATCATTTGGAAAACTTTTGTAATGTTAAATGAAAAGTAAGAAACAAACTTTTCCACTCATACAATCATTTTTAGTTGCACCAAAAAATTTTCATGCTCATTTTTCGAGATAATAATTTTTGCAAAAATTATTCAGAAATAAGAATAAAAATTTTGGAAGAGAAATTTACATCATTGGTACTTGCTGGAATGTTACGTTTTATAACTGATAAATTGCGTGATGAATAATAATTGTTGACAAGCTAAAACATATAATATAATAGGGATGAATTAATTTCAGTAAGCTTCTCTATTGTAGGAAATCAAAAAATTTGGTGTTAATAATTAGTCTAATTACTTCGACTAATCCTAAAGGTACAGTATAATCCATTTTAAAAATTTAAACGTCAAACGTCGAATTTTTCCTACGCAAAAACCAAATATAATTTATTGAAAGTTCAAGATCAAGGAACATTAGGAAATGATGGAATATTTAAATAAATTATTTGAAAAAAAAACTTGCAATAATAGTATCATCGAAATAGAATTTCATAGTTTCATTGATGCTATTATTTGGTAGTATCCATGGTGGTTTGAATTCTCCAAGAACGAAAAAATCCAAAAGTACAGTAACATAAACAGTTGGATCAAGACTAAGTTGTTTTACAGCTGCCAAAAATTCTATATAATCATGAAGATAATATCCGAATATTGGAATCCAAACTGAAATATTTGAACCCTCATCCATTCTGATAACACGAAGCATTTACTATCATGTGTACACATACTTGATGATGAACCTATGAAGAAATGTGAAATTTGAAATATACTTCTGGAATTATTTTTAATTTCCATTAATACATCCACCAATGGTCGAGTTGCATCGGATGTATTTACATGAATATCCTTTAGTAGAGAAATACCATTTAATTCGAATATCGTTCGGATATTTGCAATTTTCAATTTTGTCGTATATTCATCATCAAATGCTATCACTGACCAAATTAATGCTACCTGTCGTTTGATAAAAATGATAATGGTTATGATAAAGAATGATGGAAAAAAGTATTCAGATTCAGGTAAATAAGAAATCTAATAGAGGCAAAAAGTAATTAATTAAGAGAAAGTTACGAAAAAGCAAGAAGTGATGAAAATAACCAAAATTATCTTGCCTTATTCCAACTCATTATTTTAAAGAATGCAACCAAATTGAACGCAGCATTCAGTGATGATAGAGTTGATATCTGTAAAATGTATCATTTTTTTTTGCGATAAAGGAAGGATAGGAGGAAGTTTTCGATAGTTTAAGAAGAGCACTATTCGGAAAGCAAATTAGTAGCATATGAGAAATAAATATTGACAAGAAATTTTCACGTAACTCACGTAAATTGCATCAAATGGGCAAAAGTTGCACAGCTCACGTAGAATGAATCAAATGAGTAAAAGCTGCATAACTCACGTAGAATGAATCAAATGAGTAAAAGTTGCATAACTCACGTAGAATGAATCAAATGAGTAAAAGTTGTATAACTCACGTAGAATGAACCAAATGAATAAAAGTTGCATGGCTCACGTAAAATGAATCAAATGAGTAAAAGTCACATAACTAACGTAGAATGAATCAAATGAGTAAAAGCTGCATAACTCACGTAGAATGAATCAAATGAGTAAAAGTTGCATAACTCACGTATTTAAAATTCTTTAATTAAATTTTTATAAAATTTTCTAGCAAATTAAGAAAATATTCAAACCTGTACAACAGAATCGAAATAATCATCGAGATATCCACCAAAACTAAACTGTAAAATATTCCATTCTTCCGTTAATCTTCTAACGATATTCACGTCTAAAAACAAAGTTAATAACTGACTGAAAACTTATGAAAATTTCATTATACACCGATACAATCAATCAATCGATCCATTTTCTGAAATTTCAAAAAAAAAAAATGGATAAACAATAAACATTTAATTATTATAGAAATAATGAAAACAAATAGATATGGAACTTTAATGAAATTAAACTATTAATAAACTACTAATAAGTTAATTAACTATTAAACTAATAAACAAACTAATAATAAAACTTTAAAATCATTTTGAAAAAAAAATCATCTTGCCTATTCACATTCCATTATAGATTTAAGTAGCAAATCTTTTAATTATCTAATAGTAAAGAATTGAGAATGATAATTGTAGTAGAATGAAAAAATTATTGATATGAGAAATGAACAGAAAATTTGTTGATGTAATTTAGTGAATAACTAAATTGTAAAATTCAATAATATAAAACTAAATTTAAGTCACCACTGTCACATGCTGGTCCAAGAAGCATTTGAAGATCATTTTCATAATACATTTCAGCGATAACAGCCGGATCATTCCCTTCATATTTAGTATGGAAACAACCCGTCGATGGCACTGATAGCAATCTGAAAGAAATTTTTCAGCAACAATTAAATATTTAATCAATAATGCATTAAAAAAAAAAGAAAGAAAAGTATCGAATTTCGAGAAGATGACAATTCTTTCTTTGTTTAATATTCCCGAGATAATTCTCGGGAATTTTAAGAATGCGCAAGTTGTATTTTAAGAATGTATTTTAAAAATGATAAGTTATTCGAGATCATATTTTAAGAACTAATGTAAACATTAGTTGTATTTTAAGAGAATAAGCAAAGTTGGTAAGTAATTAATAAGCACTACTGATGAAACAATTCATTGTTTTTATGGTAGGTAATTAATAAGCGCAACTGATGAAACAATTCATTGTTTTTATTTTTATGCTTCATTACTCATAAATATTTGCAAACAATTTTTCAGCTTCCTTTCAGTTTTCCTTTATTATTATTGTTATTATTATTATTATTATTACCATTATTATTATTACTGCTGTTACTATTATCAATATTATTATTATTATTATTATTTTTATTATTATTATTTGTGAAATGCAAATTCATTTAATCATTATCGAAGCTCAAATGAAATTGTATTTGAGATATTTTCAAATTTTATTTAAAATATTTGAATCATTTTGAAAGCTATGAAATTTCAAAATATTTCATTTAATTTTATTTTCAAAAAAAAAAAAAAATGCCAAAAAATTTACCTAAATTGATAATCGTGTAAAGATTGAGCAACAGTTACATCATTGAAACCAGCTTGCAAAAAATCCGGTGCTTTTGGAATTGTTGTATTTGCATAAATTAGGCCAATATTGAATACAGATGGCGATGATGATGATGATGATGATGATGATGATGATAATGATGATAATGATAAGATATTAATTAAAAGTAGCAAAAAACATAGCGTTTGTAAATAATACAATAATAAATAATCAATTATTTGTTGAAAAATAAAGTGATAAGATTTTCGAAAATTATTTCCAGCCGTTATGCTAAAAAAAAAAAGAAAATGCACGTAATTTTAATCATTTCAAAATTTCTAAATTTATTTTAATTCAAAAAAAAAACAATTCCAATATATTATGAATAAATGAGAAAAAAAAACAAAATAGGAATATTATGAAATTTAACATAATAATAGGATTGATTATATATATATATAAATGATTATTTCACTATTTTATAAAATATTATTATATAATAAAAAAAAAAAAAGTAAGAAATGAAGTAATTAATATAAAATAACAAATATGGGAATTAGATGTGTGGCAACAAATAATCATTTCGTGATAATGACGATGATAATGATGACGATGATGATGATGATGATGATGATGACAAATTATTTATTTGAAATAAGCTTTCTATTTTTGGTTGCCATAGCATCGTTTGACATTTTAAAGCATCCTCTTTTTTTCATCCTTTTCACTCTCCTAAAAATAAATAACTTACTCATTTTTACATTCATCAATACGTCTGTTGAATGGATGTTATTTATCATTTTACATCACTTTTTCATCATACCACCTACACACACCTACACATCCACATACTCACACCTACACACACACATATATATATTATCGTTTAATGACAGTCAATCAATGATGGAATTCATAATATGACAAAAATTTGAATTTTGCATTTTGTTTTGTTCTTTCTTGTAATTCCAATATTTTTTGTTGAGCATAAAAAGAAGGACAATATTATCAATTGATTAAATTGTAAAGATGAAGTAAGTTGTAAATAATCAAAGATACGATGAATAGTAGTAATATTTGTATGAATGATTATTTCATATCTGATTGATAATGAATGATGAGCGAGAGGTTAAGTTTATATGATTGGAAGTGTATTACTGGAAGTTTTAGCCTATGAAATTCACAGATGAATGATTGAAAGTTTTAGCCTATGAAATTCACAGATGTGAATGATTGGAATTGTCTTATTGGAAGTTTTGGCCTATGAAATTCATTGTAATTAAGTTTTTATTTCTCCTGCATAAGGATCAAAATTTTATAGTATGTATTTTTGCATTACAAAATATCCCGCATATTAAAATAAATCATTGATGACAATTTTTTTTACTGGCCTTAAATTATAGGATGAAAACTATTTGCAAAGCAAATTTGATTTGCTATGTATAAATGAAGCATAGTGGGAAATTTGAAGGATGTCGAGACATTTTTAAAGTGCACTGATATTTGACGGAATGCAATATTTAAATTGATAACAGATTTATTTATTGAAGAATTTTAATTTAATAACAAATTTGTTAAATTTGAAGAAAAATTTTAAGCATCACCAACATTAACAACAAACTTTAAATTATATACAACATTCTTAAATGATATAACATGTAAATTGGTAATAAATGTAAAGCAATGAATAGTAAATGATCGCTTCAACAACGTATCGTTCGTCCAGTTCTGTTATGAAACATCTTGCTAACAGCAGTCTTCAGATAAGATACAGAGGCTATTGCTTAATTTCAATCGGTCAATATTTAAAAAAAATTGATTAAAACAAGACTATTAGCAGCAGTAAATATACGAGACAGAAGTAACAATTGAAAATGGATAATACCATAAAAGGAATAACAATGAAATGATCATTTATAGAAAAAGAAAGTTGAGAAAGATGGCTTTTTCCACCAAGTCATTAAAAATCATTTTCGGTTCACAAATCTGCATTATTTTTGAATTAGCTGAGAATCAATCTACGATTCATTTATTCAGAAATAAACAGTGGAAAAGTATAAAACTAAAAAGCAGAATTTGGCTTAGCAAAGTTTTTGCTAATCAAAACAATTACAATCCAAAGAAAGTTCAATTTGTTAAAAAATTTCTGCATCTGATTTTTCTTTTGTAGACATATTCTTGAGAACTGACAAAGTAAAAAGCTAAGACAGCGAACCATATCACCTCATATAAAGTCAATATATCTGCTTGAGAACAATTACTGAGAAGTTTCTCGGCCCGGAAAATTTTATGATTGCATATGAAATGACGCGCAAGCATTGGAGAACAATCTTGAAAAAGGAACAAAAATTTCATGTTACAAGAACATTGGAACATGAAAATGAATAGTTGAGCGATGGACTACGAATCAGTTGTTGTAGAAAATATGACAATGCAGCAGCAGAACAGACAGTTGACCACAAGTAGTTTCAGCTTAAATAAATCTTGGTCTTACCTTTTTGTGCCCACTAAACAGCTAAACAAAACATAATATCATACGACAGATCATTAAATCCTATACTGCGGCGGTAATTCAACTGGAAAACGAATAGATTTGCTAAAGAAATCTTGTACTAAATGAGTCAAGATTATAAATTAAAGTACCAGCAAACATCAAAACAGTATTTAAAATGCCTGAAACGTGACGAACTTTTGCAATAAGTCCTGCGTTAACTAAGCAGAATTTCATGTAAGAAAACGAAGAGCAACTCAAGTTGAAGCGGCAATACTCTTTTTCGCGGCGATGATCAAATGATATAGCGTGGCAAGTGGTTTGGCGCATTTCAAGAAATGATGAGTGAGCAATTGGCTGGCTGAGTAACGCTCATCCACCGATACTTCTAGGGCGCAATCGATGAAATCACGGAATGAGGGTGAGAGTGTCTCACGCGATGGAAAATCTGGTTTCCCGTTCGTCGCTATCAGATAGATGGCCTGTATTTATTAATTACTGGATATTGTCAGAAAAAATTATGGTAAACGCTCTTATAATTATAATTAAATATGTAAATAAAAAGCCAAACCGTCAATACATTGCCAAACGCAATGACTGATGGAATTAAAAAAAGTCAAATATTACAGCATGTAAAATCTCGATCTTACCAAACAATTTCAAGTAAAAAATCATTCCACAAAATGAAAATTAAATTTTCACCCTTAGTGGATTTTCGTTCAAGTATGGTGGTTCACCCTCTACCATTTCGATTGCCATTATGCCTAGTGACCAAACATCAACTTTGGGTCCATACTGCTTTCTAGTCACTACCTCTGGTGCCATCCAATAAGGCGTACCAACCATAGTTGTACGCTTGCTTTGCTCTGGACTTATCTGTGCGCAGAATCCAAAATCAGCTGTAAACGAATATTTAAGAAAGACGAACAGATTCAAATTTCAATTCTTGCATTAAAAAAGCAAACGGATAACCGGACATACTTAGTTTTACGGAACCATCCATCCCAAGAAGGATATTGTCAGATTTGATATCACGGTGAATCACATGCCGGCTGTGAAGGAATTCCAGTGCTTGCAGTACCTGAAGTACAATTAAATGACTGCTCCATTGCAATTCCATATATAGTTTCATTAAGATTCCACTATCCATTGACCAATTCAGTGGAGAGTTAAACAACTGAGAGAAGGATAATATCACCAGTGGAGAATCTACCAAAGCAAATTAATATACCACTCAAAGAAACTGCAATTACTAGAAAAGTATCCATTAGCTGAAGCACTTTATTGAAAATATTTACTTCTCTGCACACAGCAGCAATCATCCCTTCTTCCATTTGACATTCCGTTACTACATCCGTCAATGAACCACCTGCCAAATATTCCATTACTACCTGAAAAGATATACCGCACTTAGGAATGATACTCAGGCTCCTCAGACATCATCATTAAGCTACATCTATAAGGCTATTTTGAATGGATGCGAAAATGTGGCTCTTGAATGAATGCTTCGAAAAACCTTAAACATGAAAGATGTTACAACCAAGAAATTTCAAGCATGGTATGAATATACTACAATAACGATAAAAGGATCTCAAAAATTAAGTATTTTGCGAAGCAATTATTAAGACAATTAACAGATAGCGATGTTCCCTATTAAATTGTGGGACAAGCTACTTCCAGTAACAGTGCTACAGAGCACAAGTAATGGAACTGCAAAGTGCTTGTCTCTATAATTTCCCTTGTCGCTGCACAACTGCACATCTTTGGTTACACGATGACAGTCCGGCTTATTTGACAAGGAAGTGCAATCTGCTTGAATTGTTGAGTATTGTAGAAATACCTTTCCAACTCACTCAACATTTTACTAAATAAATCTTAGAGATGGGCATCATACAAAAGTGACATAAAAGGAAAAAATGAAGCAGAAGATTTGCGTGTAAAATAAGAAAAGATATCTGGTTCGTCGAAGATCAAATTTAATACTTAAAAACTTTATTATTGGATAGAAGATGAAAGCTAACTTTTTGTTCGCTAAAGTTTTCTTTTGAAACACCTATATTGTTTTTATCAAGTTTATATTCAAAATTTCCGAAAAGTCATGTCCACTTTTCTGTTTTTCTACGATTCATCAAACAACCATCGATCTGATCTTCTGGGTAAATGTAATGCTTTAACAAATGCCAGAATTGCAAAGGAACATTAAAAAGTTAAGCGTTTGAATAAATTTACACTACAACTAAAACAGAAGAAAAAAATACCCAGAGATCGTCACCAACGAGATAAGAGTCAAGATAATTAACGATATTAGCATGCTTATTCTCACGCATCACCAGTATCTCGTTAATAATAAGTTCTTTCTTGGGCTGCTGCGCCAAATTCATTTGCTTTATTGCAACCTCCGCACCTGTACTAATTTCGATTGCTGTAAACACCGATCCCGATGCCCTGCAATGAAGCGTTTATTGAGCTCGTAGTTTTTATTAATTATATGTAAATGATGGACACAATTGGCACTTTCTACTATTAATAAAACTTCCGAAAAAGTTTTTCAAACCAAATCAAGATGTCAGTATTAGCCTGAATTGCTTTGTGAGAAACGAAATTTACTTTAGAATAAATAAAGCGAAGAAAGGAAACTAAACAAGATTTTCAATATCAAGAGTTTTATTCTTCTATTTCCGAGAGTCTTTTCGTATTTTAATTATAATCATTCTACTACTGCTTTTCAAACCTTGGACAGTATGTAAAAAAGTAGAAATACTGTTCGTAAGCATTGAAAATCCCTTACCCAGAACCGATTTTATCTACTTTTTGATATTTTCGATCTGGATTCCCAATGGTGACAATTGTGCGCAATTTTGCCAATACTTCAGAATCAGATATCTTTTTTCGACGCCCTGTTGATCGATTAGTGAGACCAAAATGACCTCCAGTTATTAAAGCATTGTTCATACATAATTCAATCTTCTCTTCTTCCATTTTTGGTTTTGTATACTAAAATAGATTTGCTTTAAGTAAACGATGTGAAAGCCATCTATAAAAAGTATGTAAAATAATGAGATATAAGCGAAATTTGGAAAAGGCATAAACTACATGTCATCTTTCCGACTGAAAGACTAATGTAAAGTGTAACGAAATAATAGTAATGCGATTCAATCTGCAAAAAATTCATCAGTTCGATGTTCGGCATAAGCATCATTTCTTGCAGCAGGCATCGCCCAAGATTTCGCCCATTGTAACAGAGAATATGATGTAGGTTTTTGTGCATGCTCAATAATTATAAACTTCATAAGCCTACGAATAATTAACGAACGAACTTACAATAGATATAGTACGAGCAGGACGATCAGGTATGGGTGGTGCGGGGACATCACCCGATTCATCATCATCAAGAACCAGAGGAGATGGATAGTCCTGAAAATTCAAATATTTTCCCCAAAAATTATATTACTTCATTGAAAAGAACATAGCAAACAAAAGCTAACGAAAAAAACACTGACCGCAGGATGTGAACTGTGCTGATCAGTAGTTGACGATGAATGTGATGAATTACTGTTACTTCCGGAAGAAAGATGCTCACTGGTACTATAAAGTGTGTAGCTACCCAACTGTCCGCTTTTCGGTAAACCCGTATGTGTTGATGCTGAGAGTCCTGCAAATATTATGCATTTTGAAGCTGAAATTCTACTGAAAGCAGTAGCAACATTCACAACTGCATGAAGTAAACTGTCGTGATAAATGATGACAGATAAGCTTTATCTCTGAATAGTGCTTAAGTAGAATTATTACTATTGCATTGCCAGTATATTATCATATTATTAATCTGATCACCCATTGTAACATGAAGAATTTCATCGTATTGCTTTTTCCCTTCGACAAATAATCGGATGAATGATTATTAAATATTAAATATTAAGTCTTAAGAATTAGGAAGACATGTACTACCTAAATATTACGCAAGCATGATTTATTTCCATCATTCAAATAAGATGAGTTTCCGTTATGACATAGTTGAGTTTCACTTGCATGGTATAAGTACTTCATGAAAAAATAAAATTATAAGCAACAGCAATTTTCGAACCGAAGTTACCTCGTACCTTATTCACCTAACCACCTAACTGGCAATACATTCTCAAATGATTCCAAAGCAATTTCACTATGAGAACTCTAACTTCCAACTTCAAGAGGAATACTCGGACAATATGTTGCAGAAGTTACTGACTCACCGCGGTGACATGTGTTGTTTTGCGATGATGTCAGCAAATGCCGATTATGCATCAGTCCTTGAGGTCCATTTTCACTTTCATTCTGACAATGTCCTCGATATGACAACGATGAGCTAGAACAGAGACCAATGAAATGTGTTGCTGCATTTAAATCGCGTTGTTGCTGCTGTTCCACGCTAGCTCCGTGAATTAATGAACAACCTGAAAAAGATCAATGGAATCAAACTATTTTTCATTATCCGAAACAAGAAGATTACTCTCACAGTACCTTCAAGCATCTCTTTTTAAAATTCAAAGCAAATAATAGCACTACTTCCATCCTAATATTCACTTAGGACAAGATTTAATCTTATACAGCATGTGCAACTATATTTTTAATTATATGTAACATCTGTATGTACAAAAATCGCAGTAGTATTTCATAACTGACAAAAGACGAGTATAATTTGTCACATTTCATATTTCATAAACTCGTCCCTAAAAAATTTTTTCAAAGCTCCAATAAATAACCTTCAAATGAAGATGGTTGCAACCATTTCTGCTGAGACGAATCAGCTTGTGTATAATATTTAAGAGCATCAAGCACAGCTTGAGGATTCTGTTGCTGTTCCTGTTTGCTGATTTGTGCACTTTGCAATAACTGTGCCCACATCGGTGGCATACCCTGAAAAAATGAATTTGTTGAAATTGACAAAAATAAATTAAGTGAAGATAATATTAAAATGTGTGAAAATGAATAAAACAAATTATTAAATAAAATAAAGGTATACATATACTAGAGCAAAATGAAGTTTCATATTTACTTACAATCTTACTGCATGTCAAACTTTCTCCTTCCTCTATCCCTTATAGAAAAAATAAAGTCTTGCGCTTCTGTCAACCTCAAACACAATGATCAATCATTAACAGTCATCAGAAACAAAACTAAATTTTCAGAAGAAGCTTAAAAACTGTTTCACCGATTTTAGTTCCTTTTACCAAACACACAATATGAATAATCTGGTCAAATCGTTATTTATTTAGAACGCTTAAACAAATGGCATTTTTGAAGAAAAAGAGCAAATCTCTTATCACAGCTAATGACAATATGATCGAGCGGAACTGATTTTGTAAGGTTTCTAATAAAACAATCAGAAAAAGAAAAATGAACTGAAGTGAAAATATTAGACAAGTACAGAAAATTTAAAAACATATGAAGTTAAATACAGATTTAAACATGCAGAAAGCAAAATGCTTAAAAATTAAAATGCAATAAAATTTTTAAACATATTCTGAACATGCTCCACGATTTAATCAAATAGAATGTGTGACTTTTCTATGATAAAAGCTATGATATGGGAGTTATATAGCTAAAATTTTATAGGAATGTGTGTGCACATGTATGCAATGAATACGAGTTTTAAGCACGACACAAGAAATATTATTTTTTTGAAGAATATTGCATTGAAAGAAGCCATACTAATGACAGCAGATATTAAAAAATTCAACACAAGTTATTTAATTAGAGTGTACCAAACATAAAACACCTCCCAAATTAAGAGTTCACATAGCAGTGCTGCGCTTGAAAGGAAAATGAAGCGCTCTATAAATAACAACAGACTACGAACACGATTTTCCAGAACGTGACTTAAACCTACCAAAGCAAGAATATTCAAACAAAAGAATAAAGGCTAGTAATGCCGTACACATTTTACTTTTATAACACTTCGAATTGTCATACAGGATTAAAAAAGTTTGGTATTAATTTCCGAGAATTAAAAAAGTTTGAAATTGTTTTTGCGGGCTCAGCTTAAATAAGCAAAAATTGAAGCGTAGATACAATAATCTTTCGAAATAAACTCTCCATTCATATTTCGTCCATTCACACATTGCATTGAAATTTCGAAAATAATTGACACTCAAAAATAAGTAAAACAAAATCCCTTCATTTAGTACATCCTAATGCGTTGTAAAATGATAGACAGTTGAATTCCATTGAACAAAAAAATGAATATTAGTCTAATTTTAAAGTCGTTTTAAAAATAAAATTTTGCTAATGAGTTACGCATCATAAACAAGTGATATATTACACTTCTCTCTAAGATATAAGACATTATATATACATCTATAAAGTGATACGATATATCTAAGCTTTAATATATTCATGAGATATTATATGTTACACTTCCTTCTGAGCTGTCTAACGAAAGCAGGGCCGGTTACTCCCCTCTTTGAAATAATGATTATAAAGAAGTTGAGAGGACAAAAACATACAGTAAATCTGTTCAAATCCAAAAGAAATTATTTTACGACTATCCTCTTATACAAAAGAATTTTTGCTCCTTCTCCTACATCAAAACAGAAATACAACGATTAACACCTACTGAATGGCACTTCAAATCTTCGTAGAACTATTTTTAAAAATCACTTATTAGCACATCTGAGAAAAACAAAAAATAAAAATTGGGAGGATATTGAAAAAAAAGGAAAGAGACAGTTATCCAGTTAAAGAGACAGTTTTCAATGTTAGCACTTCTTTACCTAACAAATCATATACACTGCTTTGCCATATTGAAGTTTTGCCTGAGAAGAATGGTATGTACTGCTCTTTTTTCAGAGATTAACTTTTTCTTGCAACGATTTCAAAGCTGTTAGTGATATCGATTATTGCTTAATGGGCACAATATATATTATAATAATAAGCCTTACTTTGGTCACTACACTGTTTTTTATATCATCAAGAGAAGAGTAGAACAGTTAGTGGCCAAATATAAGAAAATAAAAGTGAAGTACGAAAAAGTAAAATCTTAGTATACGAGTTAATGAAAATTTGAAAGATCAGCGAAAAACTTAGCAGGATTAACATAAGATTTTCTATCTCACTGAATTATTGCATACCGCTGAAAGATGAAGCTTTGAAACAAAACGCTTAATCCAAGAAACAAATGGAAAGAACACTATCTTTTGTTATTCTAGCTGTGCTAAAGTAATAAATTGCATTTGGAATTTTGAGCAATCGTTTATCCCACTACACTATCACAAAATTGGCATTAATTCTGCCCGAAAAAGAAAGAAAAAAGTGGAATACCGTAAATTCGCCAGTTTCTGGATCATAACCAACATGAATAGTGTGCTCAAAATTGCTCGGTAATGAAATAACAGGTTTATCGCTTGTCCTTTCTTTTTCCTTATTTTCTGCAAAAAAATATCTCATTATCTTCCACTTGTTTCTGGAACAGTAAACAACACATCGTCAATTAATGAAAGGACAAAAAACCAAAAAATTCTTTCCAGAAGGTAAAAAGTCTCTATAAAGGTACTAAGCTAGAACAGAACATATTGGAAAAGAAAAAAATTATTGCCAGATCTTATTCAAACTCCAAAATTAATCAAAAAAGATTAATTTTGCAAAGATAAATATGGAGATGTGCATAATTCCAAATGAAGGAAACATGCTGTGACAGCAATATTCCATCATGTACAAGGACTTTGTTGGACTATATCTGCTACTTAGTCGTAAGAAAACCTCACACATTTTGGGAAGTAATTCCACAATGTGCAATGTCTCAGTTTCTGCATATGCCAGCGCAAGTGCTATTTTATTCCATATACTGAGACACTCAAACTCCAAAATAGTAACTTGAAAAATAACTCACTTTTCCCACCGAAAGTTTTCTTCTTCGTTTTCTTGTTGGCAACAGGCAGAGATCCATAATGTTCTGAATTTGACATAGGTTCACGTGGGAGCGGTTTCAGTTCCACAAATGACTGATCGCGAAAAGCATTAGAAATACTACTACTGTACCTAAAAAAGCATTATTTCAAAATAAATTAAAGACAATAGAGAATCCTAAATAATTCATCTAATTCTACAGCTCTTTTTCCATGAAATGAGAACACTCTCTGGATATCTAATATATTAAAATTGGTGTTATCATCGAAAAGTTATCGCGACTATTTTTGCAACGAAACATGCTAGTATAATTGATTACTTGATTACCTAGTTAGTATAGGAAAATTATGAATGTCACCACTTGCTGCCACTTTTTGTTCTCCCATATTAGCAAAATATTCCCTTGTTCATACTTAAACTTAAATTGAATGAAATTTAAAGAGTATGTAGTATTTATGACAACAGATGTGGAAGATAAGAAGTATGCGCTTCAATATAAGGAATATACAAAGAGTATGTGTTTTAAAATACAATAGCGCTCTATTTTCAGCACATCCACAAGTTCGAAAAGGTTTCGATATCATAACCATTTCAATTGATGAGATTTATGAAACATATTTTTCTGCAGAAATTTAAATGACACGCCTCTTCTAGAATTCGAAAGGTACATCGTTTTCCACAAATGCTCGAAATCAAGTTATCAAGAGAAGCACGAAATATTCAGGTGATACATCATTTTTTGTTTCAATATCTACAAAGGCAAAAGATTGAAAGTATTTACCTCAATGGTGGAGGAGGTGGTTTTTCGTCATGAACCGAAGACATATTTGGAATTCAACGGAAGTCAGCAAAAAGAACACGTGTGCAATCAGTAGTATGCTCGATAAATAACAGCAACGATCTCAACAACAATGCTTGTGGAAAAACAGACGGAAATCACAGTGAGGGTAAATAATACAACAACACAGGAAACATTTGTATCAAATTCGCGAATAAGATGAATGACATGAGGTTGTCTCAGGGTAAAAGCCCATATTGTAATCAATAACAGCAAGGCAAAGAAAATTTCCGAAAAGCCACACTATTTTGCTGTTTTTATAACCTGAAATTATAATGATAAAGAATGAAATGATATGTGACAAATTAACCATATCACGAATAATTGAATTCATCTTCATTAAGTAATGTGTAAGGTATAAATTGAATGCAACGATCATATTAAAACATTAAAATAAGTAAATGTTATGTGAGCACTAAAACAACATCTCATAACTACATAATCCCTCACCGATCAGTTCGATCAAAGTATCTCTTTGTGTGAAACTCAGATAGGTTCACATAGAGGTTGCAGGCTTAGAGGACAATTTGCCAACAATTTCCATTTTAATCGCGGGAAAGGTTGCTAAATTGAATATACATGATATAATAATACTCTCGCATAACTGCGTTTAATGTATTTCCAGGAAAATTTTGAAAAATGAAAAAGTAGTCAACTAATGCTTACTTTTTCCCTAAATCTTAAATTGCACAAATAGCGCAAATGGAAACGTAAATACGTAAATAGAACGTAAATACGTGCACGTAATACATTAATGAGGAATATAATCTCTAAACCTTCAAACATAGGCACGTATACGTGCGTACACGCGAAGACATTAAAATTGTTCAAATTCTTTCACTTTACAATTTATAATAAAAATGCAACAAGCACTGACTGAAATGCACGAATGCATGACAACATTCCTTCGCCTATATAGCTATATGGTATATATATATATATATATATATGATACATGTACATTAAATCCCTTCATGAAGAGATTGCAAATATAATTTCATCATTACAAATGATATGTACACGTACGTAACGTGATATAATTTGATAAAAATATATATATATAATATATATACTGATAAAAAGAAAAAGAAGAAAATACGATTACGTGAAATATTTGCATAATAATAATGCAAAAATATACAAATTCAGATATGATAGTGCAAAAAAAAAGAAGATGAAAAATGTGGTAAATTCAGTAGGATTATCGAGATTATTCGCATTTTGATGTTTGTGCTCCAATGTTGGTTCAATTACAAATTTTTTTTTCCTTACAAATGATTGACTATAAGAGATCAGAAGAAAAGATTTAAAAGATAGAATTATTTCATTGTTTTTAGCGAACAAAATTAAAATGAATAGTTTAGTAAGAATGATGGAAAAGTAAAAGAATAGGATATTGAAATTGAAAAAAGTTGAATTAAATTGTAGGAAAAAAACATTTCATTTAATTTTCAATAAGAAAACGATAAAGTAATTACAACAACAACGAAAAGTAAAAGAATGGAAAATGTAAAAAGATATAGGAAGAGAGATGTACTCTTAAGTTGTTAATTTATTGGCATACAAAAAAACAATCAGTTTCTCTTTTGCAATGTTATTCGCTAACAAAATTTCAACTTCCTTCAAATATGTAAAATTTTTCAACGATCGCAAAAATTTCAACTTTCTTCAAATATGTAAGATTTTCAACAATTGCAAAAAAATTTCAACTTTCTTCAAATATGTAAAATTTTCAACGATCGCAAAAATTTCAACTTTCTTCAAATATGTAAGATTTTCAACAATTGCAAAAAAATTTCAACTTTCTTCAAATATGTAAAATTTTCAACGATCGCAAAAATTTCAACTTTCTTCAAATATGTAAGATTTTCAACAATTGCAAAAAAATTTCAACTTTCTTCAAATATGTAGGATTTTCAACAATCGTGTCTTAAACTAAAAAAAAGAAAGAAAAAGAATAGAAATAGAAAATGGAGCAGAAATTGTTGAATAAGAAAAAAAGAATCATACACTTTCTTCCTTCATATTAGCATATTGAAAAATAAAAAGTCATCGAATGATATATTATTATCATTATAAAAAGAGATGATAGTGAAAAGGATTAATAATTAATATAATTAATGATAATTTACTTGTAGAAAATAGAGCATGTAATAGTATTTAGATTTAAGGATGATTTTGATATCTGATCGAGTTTATATTCAAATGTAAAGTTGTGAAGATAATTTATGAAGTTAGAATGATTTTTATTAATTTGATAATTGAAAAAATTTTTGTTCAAACAACTATTTATTGATTTATTTTTATATTAAACACGATAACAAGTTTTGCTACAGTAGCAATAGCAGCAGTAGCAGTAGCTAGCAGTATTCTAACCACGATCAGATAATTCCTGATAATCAGCTTTGTTTACGATATTTTTTTACGAATGGATGCTAAACATATTGTTTTCATTGAAATAGTACAAGTTTTATGAAGCATAAAAAATATAACAAGCAATAAAAAGCAAATGAACGGATAACCAACATTAACTATTATGTCACATATAATTATTGTGATATAATGATATAATATATATTTAAACTAATACCTATTGAAAAGTATATAAAGTCAGGTGTTCAATATAAAAATAAATAAATTGAAATTCGAAATTTTCAAATTTAAGATGAGCGCTCATTATTTTCAACGTTTAGCATTTATCCAAATATCTTCATCTTCTTTACAAACTTAATGACAAGAATAATGAATGTTGTTTTATGTCGTAGTAAGCTAATTCAACAATATGGATAAATGATTGGATGATAAATGATGTATGATTCCGACAACTGCGCATTCGTGATGATACTCTTTATTTATCATTGTCATAAAAATCGAATATTGATTTCTCGAAATTTATTGCTACTATTTATTATAGACTATATAATATATTTATAGTAAAATGAGATCGGAAAATCTTTTTAAAAAATCCTCTTTAAAGCACAGGATTAGATGTTGAGTAATTTTTTTAGTATAAATGAGAATAATCTTTTTTCATTATAAAATCATATTATTTGTCTATTCAACTATAATATCCATTTTTTCGAAAGGTTAAATATATTAAATGAAATGAACCATCAACAAATTATAGGCTCATTCCTTTCAACTTTCAAGATCACTTCACAATCAATATCAAATTTGCACAAGCAGCTGGAAGTATTAATATAAACATTCGAAGAAGTATGTTCCATTCTTCATAAGTGATATCCTATTTGGAAACGAAGATATCTCTGATCATATTGAATTTCAATCTTGTTTACAATTTCTTTTTTTTCGTGTGTATTCCATCATATATTTTAGGGGAGTAGAAAATTTTAATTTTTTAAAAATAACATTTATATTGAAGTACTACTAGGAATTCGTCTTATGCCATATAATTCATAAATTATTCATATAATGTAGGAATTTAAAAAGGATAGAAAGAATATGCAAAGAAGCAAATAAAATTTTAAAATTCGTTTTTCGCTTTTTTTGAAAATAAATGATAATACTAAAATTAATACTAAAAAGATAATACTAAAAATGATAATACTAAAAAGATCTATATTATCGAGATGATAACACTAAAAGGATCTATATTATCGAGAAGATGATAACACTAAAAGGATCTATATCATAGAGAAGATGATAACACTAAAAGGATCTATATATCATTAAGATAAAATGAAAAAACAATAAAATTTTAAAAGTTCAAAAAGCTTCTAAAATTTCTAGAACTTCTAGATAAGCTTCTGCTAATCTAATGATTGTATAATTTAATCTCAAACATACATGTAAGAAAAACCATACTTAAAACATTTCAAAGAAAGTGAAATGACTGATGATAACGTTATGATGATTTTATTCTTTCAGAAGAGATAACAAAAAAAAGTTAACGAAATTTAAGAAATGTATTTTAGTTAAATTTTTCGTTGAAATATTTAGCTTAATCATAGGAATAATAGCAAAAGGAGGAATGTGGCAGCTCTTTCTTCTTCTTCACAAAATTCACATAAACTTCCCTTTCTCATTTTCCACTTACTGCTACTTTTCCAACAAATCCTATTTTTACATCCAAACAGCAAATATGCTTCTTCTTATCCAACATAGATAGTATTATTTAATATATGAATACATTTAATACGATTAAATATTAAAATAATGAAATTAAAATAACTATTGGTCAATTTAATTGATAGCTAAATAAGATTGCAGCAAAGGAATATGATAGTAAATCATTTATATCATCTTAGATATCACTTCTTCAAAGATTAAATAAAGCATTGATAAAAAAAGGTTTAAAAAAATATCAAATCGTAGCGAAGGAATATGATTTATCATCTTAGGTATCATTTCTTCAAAGATTAAAGCAATGATAAAAAAGTTTTTAGGTATCAAAAATGTAACAAAGAATTCCTAAAATAATTCAAATTAAAAGGATATCTAATTTTAACAGAAATTAGATGAAATTTCTAAATTGTTAGAGTTTCAAAGAATACTTTTTTAGTTACTACTGCCAACCTAAACTATAATTTTCTCAACAAACAATAAAAATATAAGAAAAAGGAACTGAGGTAAGCATAATATAGAGAGATATTGGCGCTATTACTTCCAACCTTTTAATAATCTATAATGATGATGAAAATGCTTCTTCAAGAATTATTGGGTATGTTTGCTAAGTTATCTTCTCCTATCTAAACTATTACAAATATTCGAAATAATTATGTATCACAATAAATGAATTATCGATCAAAATGAATCCATTTCCTCCAGTGATTCATCGCTTAAACTATCATCAATTGCAAATTTTAAATCAAAAATATGCTAATATGTTTATAGATAAAATAGCTTCTTTTTCTGTTTTAGAATAGGAAGCAATATTAAGATATACCAAAGATTTCAATCCAATTTTATAGACAACTAACGCGCCTACCCGACCTAATAAATATTAAATACACAAAGCTGACGCAAA